AAAAAAAAAAAAAAAAAAAAAAAATAGATAGATTAATTACAGATCTTCTGAAAATCGTGACTCCCGAGCAGTGCTATTACTCGCCTCCTTGCCAATGGCAGGTGGTGCAGGCAAGCCTTGCTCGGCGGCACTTTCGCGAAGTTCGCCCCGGTCTGCAGTTGAAGCTTGTCGAGCGTTGGAAGGTTCGGCTACCTCGGAGTTCTTTGAGCCTTTTCTTGATGTTGCTCCTGCGGCCGCGACGCCGTTGCCATTCGTCTTGGACTCGCTATTCCGTGAGAAGGACTTCATCAGGCTGTTCCGGAACCAGGAGGATCGTCGGTTTCCATTCCCATTCTCTTTTGTAGGCGGCCGTCGCGGAGCTTCGTCATCGGCGCTGAGCACGGAAGACCGTCGACGCTGCATCTCGTTTAATTCATCACCAGTAATCGGGTGCGAACTGAGTGCTGCACTTCGGGAACGCTCCCTACCACCTGTAACCTCCACTTCTTCAGCGCTTTCAGTTCCTTCGGCTGCTTCAGCAGTGCCGGCGCCGGCGCCGGCGCCAGTGGCGGGTATTGTGCTTGTTTCTTTCTGGGGTTGTTCCTTGGCTGCTTCGGTTGCCCGTCCACCCCGGGATCCACGGCCTGTGCGACGTCGGCCACGGAACCAGCTTTTCAATTTTGATTCAGACCTGCGCGGCTGTGCTTCTTCCGGTGCAGCGCTAGGCACCACGAGTCCGTTTTCTCCTTCAGCGGTCTGGGATCGAAACATCTCTGGCAAATCTTCTCCTGACGTCGTGGTGTCGGCAGGTGCTTCTGGTTCAGCTTCTGCAGCTCCTGCACCAGCACCAGCACCGGTGCTAACTCCAGTTCCGGCTCCTATAGCCCCGGTGGTTTCTGCCTTTTCAGCGGGAGGCTCTTGGGCACGCCCTCTCTTCGACCTTTTACTCTTGGGTTCTTTCTTCAGGGATTCTAGTAGGGTTAGATCGATTCTATCATCTCATAAGAAAAATAACTTACCTCTCATCCGCTTCTCCTCAGTCTTCAGTTCAGCCTCCCTCTGACGCTCGGTAGCTTCACGCCTTTGCCTCTGCTCCGCATCTAGACGCTCGTCCATCTCCTTGGCTCTCTGTTTCTCTGCGTGGTCGTGAATTTCGTCCAGAGTAGGCTGAACCCGAGACCGGGCAACGGCTTCAACATCGGCCATGTCCATGTACCGTTGCGTACCGATGTTAACTCGATCGGGATATTCCGCTTGAGCTTGCTGTTGCTGCTCTTCCTTTAGGCGCTCCTCGGCCGCTTCTTCGTATTTCTCCCACACAGATGGTGGCGCTCGACCAGTCGAGGTATAGACCCACTGGTCCATGTCTTGGATTGCGGCGTCCACGTTTCTCCTGGCAGCTTCCATGAGCTGAGAACGATCATTCTCACGCTTCTCATCCACCGCGTCCAGCTTGGTCCGCAACGATGACATCTGGTACCGGATTTCCTTGGATTGCTCCATGTCCGTGTCACTGGACGCTCTTCTTCGAAGAACGCTCAAGGTGGGACGTGGGGGCTGAGTCGTGCCGTAATATTCCTGGAAGGCGGCATTCTCGTCGTGCATCATGGCCAATTTCTCCTGGGCTCGTTTGTGTGCGACACCTTGTATATTGAGTGCTTGTTGCACTGCCTGGTTTATGTTGCCATCTTGCTGAAGCGACTTCTGCGAGCGTGCGCGACCTTGTGTTATCTGAGCCGCATATGCAGCCGTACCCGGTTGTTCTTCCTTTGACTCAATAATATTGTACATGTCGCGTGACATGGAAACCACCGCAGCTCGCTGCACATTTCTTCTTCTCAATTCCTCCGGGTCGTCAGGGAAGCGTGGACGCGAGCCGTATAGCTGGGCGTCGGTGTTGGTCAAGTGCGTAAGCCTACTCGCTTCATTGGTAGCGTCCAAGTCCTCCAATGGGTTGATTGCACTAGGATCCTGGACCGTTCCATGTGATGCACCAGCTGCCGAGGCTGCAAGAGGTTGGCTTTCTGGGACGACGGGTTTAGTCGGGGTCGTGCTGGCTCGTCTCCTGCTCATATTGTATGCCCCTGTCGCGGCTAGGCGTGCCTTTTCCCGTTCGCTCGCTCGTCTCTGTAGACCGGCCGTGCGCTCAGCTTCGGGAAGATCCAGATTCACACCGGCAGGCGTTGCAGGGATGCTCGTAATCGATCGACGGTCTCTGATGGCTGATGTCGCGGCCTTGTGTCCTTCTGGGGTCGCTTTGGCCACATAGATGGCTTCAGGAGCACGGTAGTCGCGGGCATGGTAGGCAGCCTTTTCCGCAGCGGGCTGCGCAGTCGGTCTCCAGACTTCGAACGGTTTACTTCTCGTGTGGGCGAGGATGGCAGCTGAAGCAGACGCGCTGCTGAGATCGAGATGTCCGGTTGAATCACCTAGCGACACAAACGGTCAATACTCGCATTGGATATGCAATTGTAGGGCAATGCTCACGGAACAGCTGGGTATTGGCCGTGGCAGGTTCGCGAACTGATAATCGACGATCTGGGTGGGTCACGTATAGTGCAGCAGAGGCGGCTGATCGCGCGATGAACCGTGCGTTAGTTCTGGATTCTCAATTATGGTCTTTACACCGCTGTAGAGGCAACAATGAAACCACGACCACGACAAGGAGACACTCACCCTGGTCTGCCAGACGAGTCGACCGGGAACGAGGTATCGAGGCGTGCTGGGAAGCCACGGCAGCTCCGGCGGACTCACTTGCCATGGCGATAGATGGGAATTGCGACACGATCAAGCGAGCAAGAGAAAGAGAAGAAAGGAGAGAAGAAAAGGAAAAGAAGGAAGGAGGGGTAAGACCAAGGGAAGAAGATGATGAAGGGCCGCTGGGATGGAAGTCCGGAAGCTTACTGCCTTGGTGCCCAGGCCATGATGTCACCCGGTCGGCGAATGCGATTTCTCATGATGTCACGATAAAATAGAAACAGCAGTAGGGATAGAGAGAGAAGAAGTGAAGAAGTGAAAAATGCATTACACTCAGGATGCTCAGTTGCATCCATGCTGCATTTCCGTTTTCGGAAACTTATGCAGTGCCCTGGCAGGTTTCGGTAGTAATCGGTCGGTTGTACATCCATGATTACATAGTCGAGGATAATGTTCCGTGTAGTAGACTATACAAGGATATATGAGGCTGTCATATGTAGTACTACGCCGGAGTACAGTATCCAAGTCGATTGGATAGTCTAGAGATCTCCGTGGACCGACTCACTCGGTGCCATAACCCCAATAGGTAGCACCTCCTCTGTCACCCATACTATGCACTGTACGTCCAACGGGTGATCTACCAGATGTCAAACAGAACATCAGAATGACATTGAATGTCTTTTCACTTCATTATTCTCACCTATCTTAAAGGTACCTTTAGCTTACGAACAAGACATAAGCCACACATAAGGACACCCCTAATGCGCCGAGCCACGCCCGGACGATCTGCGACGGCGAGTTGGAGTCTGCAGCCATATGGATAAGCACGTACAGCAAATAAAATGACTCGTATGGTACTGTGCGTCTTGGCAGTTCTCCTCACAATAGAGACTTTTCACTATTTCCTCTTAACCCCTCTGTTGCGACCACGGAAAACACGCCGGATACGCTTTACGGGAACTATTGGAGACCGTTAGAGACAATGCTCGTTTTGGAGTGCAATCCTTGCCGCTAACATACATACTTTAGGAACGAAGGTACCTACAGAGTACTCCTTACAACAGAATTGGAGTCGAGCCGGTACATAGACTGCCCATAGCCGATAGGCTCAAAGGGTCGGTCCAGAAGCACAGACAAAGTTCCCCGTGTTGAGAAAACCTATGGTAAGCGTGTTACTTGAAAGAGAAAAGATCAGTAGAATGCCCCGAGTCATGGCAGTTCAGGGGCTGTCCTTTGGTACTACAGAGTACAGACTATGAGAAACCGTCTCCATCGCTGAGTTTATTGAAATGAGAATATCTTCATCTTTTACCCGATTCGGTAGCGCTGATCGCCCATCGTGGGGTTTTGAGCCAGCCCCGTGGTTCCGAGTCCAATATGTTTATTTGAGTTAATGAGGCAATTGTGTTGGGGTTGCTTCTCCTCATAGGGGATGGATGTGTCTGTCAAATCGCGCTCACTACCGTTGTCACCTATATAATTCACGGCGTCCACTCGTCAATCATTCCCTTCTACACACACGCTCTCTCTCTCTCTCTCTCTCTCAGTCTCTCCCTGCTAGATCACCCTGCCATTCCTTCATCCAGTCCATCCGGTCACTCTTTCTTACCACAACCATCAAAATGAAGTTCGCCTACGTCTCTCTCTTCCTCGCAGCCACTGCTGCTGCTGCCGAGATCAGCTTGAAGGACATTCCTACTTGCGCCGTATGTCATGTTATCCATTCCCATCGCTGAACCATACTAACGTGTAAATCAGGCGAAATGCGGCCTCGGTACTCCCCCCGACCACTGCGGCAAGCTCGACGCCAAGTGCGCCTGCGAAGACCCTACCTACGTCGCCGACACCGCCTGCTGTATATCCAAGGAGTGCGATGAGGACGACGCCAAGAACGCCGTGGAGTTCACTGAGAAGCTCTGCAGCGGTGTCGGCGTTGACGGCCTGCCCAAGACCGCTACCTGCGCTGCCAGCGCCAGCTCCACCTCTGGCTCTTCGTCTTCGTCCACTGCCTCGTCCGACTCTTCTTCTGCGTCTTCTACCTCGTCCAGCAGCAGCTCGAGCAGCTCGGCCTCTGCCACTGAGACTGGTGGTGCTGCGCTTGTTTACAACAAGGATGCTTCGATCATTGCGGCTGTTGGTGCTGCTGCTTTTGCGTTCCTGGCATAAATTTGATCTGGATTTGGAATTAGACGGACGGACGGACGGCGAAGGATGGATGGATTCTTTTCGACGATATCATGAACTTAGGGTCGATCTAGCATAATTTTAATACCCATAATTCAGTCATTACTCAAATCATTCAGTGGTTGGGACCGTAGGAATGTATTAAAATCGAGTAATTCTATGGCTCTATTAATCAGTATAAAAGTACCCAGTCTATTCATCATGCTCCACAAATCGAGAAACCAATTCCTGTCGTTCCTCCCGGAGAGTGAGGTAAATCTAGAATGTCAGCATTACCCTCCCCAAGAAAAGCAAGAGAACATACCCAAAGCCAAAACATCATCTCCATAAACCCATACGTAAAAATCACCCGATTCTTCAATTGATCCAGCCCAGACCCAGTCTCAACACCCCAAGCCACCGGATTACTCTGATAAACGAAAAACGACACCGCAAAGAACAAACAGAACCGCGAAGCAGACAGCAACGTCCAAATCTCACTGTATAGTGTGGCCAGACGCGTGACGAACGGGTTTGCGCGCATCACGCCCGGGGTTGTCACGGAGGATTGGTAGCGGGATGCTTCTGCGGTGGCGATGATTTCGTTGATTGTCGGGATTTTGGTGATGAGGACGAGGTCGACGAGGGCGTCGGCTACGAGGAGGATACCGCAGAGGGCGAAGGGGGATTGGGGGCGGGAGAAGCTGGGTGCTGCATCCTGTTGTAATTTTGTTAGGATTTTCTTGTATTGTTTAGGGGTGGATTGTATTGTAGGGAAACGAACTATGTGCAGGAGCTCTCCCAGCATAAACACGAGATCAGACTCGATGATGACATTCGGGGATTTGGTGAGGTACACGGCGAGGAGGAAAAGGAACAGAGCGTGTCCTTGAATGAGGGTCTTTGATGATAAAAGAGCCATTGTCGGCTCATGTTAAGACGATATTGTGAAATAAATTGAAGGATTGGAAGTGGTGGTCTGGGACGAAGAGATGTACTTGGCTAGAAGAAGCTCCGTGTTTTCATGTGGGGTTAGTGCTTAACTCCGATGGTCAGTTATCGCAACTCATTCCCATTCAGCCCCTCAGGACAACGGCATCTTTGATACTATATATTGCGATTAATCTTATGAACCTGTACGAAAATAATCGTGAACTGATATTGCCCCAATAGACAAAATGTCGGCCGTCTTCAACAAAGACCGCCACATCAAATACTACCGCCGATGCCTCAAAACCTTCCTCCCAGACCTCTACACCGGCAATGACTCCAATCGCATGCTCCTCGCCTTCTTCACGATCGCAGGCCTAGACATCCTCGGCGCCCTTCACGACGAAACCACCCCCGAAGAGCGACAGGGCTACATCGAATGGATCTACCACTGCCAGGTGCCAACCGGAGGCTTTCGAGGCTTTACCGGAACGGACTTCGGGATCGAAAGACGGACACCTGAGAATGCGTCCTGGGATCCGGCGAGTATCCCCTCGACATTCTTTGCGTTAGTGCTCTTGATTGTTTTAGGGGATGATTTGTCGCGGGTTAAGCGGGTCGAGTGTTTACAATGGCTGCCGCGATTGCAGCGTGAGGATGGGAGCTTTGGGGATATTGTTGGGCCGGATGGGGAGATTGAGGGTGGGAGGGACTTGCGGTTCTGTTGTTTTGCGGCGGGAACGCGGTATATCCTCCAAGGGAAACGGGGGCAGGGTCTTGAGGGTGTGAAGGATATTGATGTGCCCCGGTTGGTGGCTTTTATTGAAGCTTGTCAGACATATGATGGTGGCATGTCAGAGGCGCCTTTTTGCGAGTCTCATGGTATGCCTTCTTCCTTCTGATTAAGGCTGTTTGCTTACAATTCTAGCGGGCTTGACCTATTGCGCTATCGGTGCTTTAACGTTTTTGAAGGCCGATAAGCCAGCACCAGTTCTCACGCCTGGCTCTGAGGAATTCGAATCGCTGATCTGGTGGCTAGTCTCGAGACAGACATCTGACCTTGGTGAAGACGACGAAGAGCAACCAACTGGTTCCGACAAGGCACAAGAAAATCTCTCTCAAGCGGTCGAAGCGCTTCGTCTCAATGGCAAGGTGGACGCATTGCCTCCGATAGAACCGCCGACGGAAGAGTCCTTACAATGGGCTGGGTTTAATGGACGGAGTAACAAGGCTGCTGATACGTGTTATTCGTTTTGGAACGCGGCTACTCTGGCAGTAAGTCCTTATTACAGAATTGGCTGAATAAAACTAATGCGTTGAAGATGCTGGACCGCTTAGCTCTGGTTGATGCTGCTCGTAACCGGCGATATCTTCTCGAAAAGACACAACATCTTATTGGCGGTTTTGGGAAAGGAGTTGGGGAACCACCAGGTAAGCTAGCACCCTCGCCGTCTATTCCAGATGAGTTGTGATTGACAGGACAGATCTTCTACACTCGTACTTCGGACTGGTATCGCTGGCATTTGAAGGAGAGCCCGGGTTAAATTCGGTTGATCCGGCTATGTGCACCACTCACCGGGGAGTCCAACATCTTCATTCCTTGCCCTGGTGGCAGGCGTAGGTTAACTGTATGGAGTATGTCGAACCCGCGGTATCCTTTAATCTTTTAATTGACAATCCGGTATCAGACGTGAGCTCTGGTTTTATACTATCCCTAAACTGGTTGCCGAGTTGACCGTATCTCAGACCGTGACGTGCGCGGAAGACGCTAGAGATGCTAGACTGAAGATGAAGATGGGCCGGCCCAGCGATCTAAATTTATACTCAGGGGCACGAGAGTCTGCAAGTACTTTTTGCATACAGTAACTATAGAGCGCATTTGAGAGACAATTACAGTATTTGATTAGGATTGAGGCGAATTAGATACAATGCCAATATCAGCATTGACATCTCTGAAAAGAAAAGACTCCGCGCCATGCGAGGTATGGAACCGTTGGAATCCCGGGATCAACGGCCCACGTTCGGGGAGCTCAGAAGGTCAAAAGAAGCGAATTAGAAGCAAATAAATGAAGATAGATTGAAATGATCTCATTGCATGGGTAAAATTACTTATTATCGGCACGTAGTTTGTTCTCAGTGTGGTGTCCTGTCATTTCCTTGATACTTGCTGTCCTGGACTGAGGCAGTCATTCCTCCTCGCCTCCTCCTGAACTTCTTGCCTCCAGAAAGTACTGCATCTTCAACCTCTTACATTTTTCCCAACCTCGTTATCTTTTCTTGTTTTCACTCTCTATTTTCTTTTCACTCACTCTCTAACATTTTGTCTGACTTTTCAGCGACAACAATACAGGTTCTTGTATCGCCTCTTGAGATCTCACCGTTCCAAGGTCTCTCCCATCCTGCCCGAACGAACACCCGTTGCGGCGAAACTCAGATTTTACAAAAAAAAAAAAAAAAAAAAAAAAAATTAAAAAAGACAAGAACAACTCCTGAATTGAATTGTCTCTGCCGTCGCCTCCGTCTATTTCAAAACATATCGCAAAGAGCATCGCGTCCGACTCGACCGATTCCCTTGTTTCGTTGTCCTCCGTGTCGCCTCCGTCGCCATACCCCATAGACCGAATAAGTATCCGATCCATTTCGCTGGGGTTGGATGGCACCCGCAATTAATCGAATACCTTTCTGTCCCTCCTTATCGTTCCTACGATCCCACGCGCTTACAATCGTCCGTTGTTCATCGTTAATCGGACGGAGATAATCACCTAACACATGCCGCCTGCCAGGACAAGAGCGGAGGTTCAAGCCCAAAAGCAAAAGGAAAAGGTCCGTACCTGTTCATGTTCCCCGGGGTAACTGAAATGGCTATTGCCACTTTTCAATACCACACACCCCTCTACATATCTCCATCCACTGCGTTGGTCTGGGATCCGGAGAAGACAACCCTGGTCGAGTCCATGCTTTAGTTACTTGCTTTCCTTATCCGCAATCTTGCATGAACGCTTGGCTGACGTTGGGCCGTTGCGCGCGGTTGTTCACAGCTTGCCCACTCCTATAATGAGCTCCTACAGTAAGTCATCTTTCGCGGTTTGCTCAGTGATATTCAAGGTGTTGACTTCGTCTTCAGAGAGTTCTCGTCAAAGGACCTCAAGTCTGTAGGAAACTATACTGTGGGGAGGTTAATCGGAAAGGGCTCCTTTGGCAAGGTCTATCTCGCGTCTCACAAACTCACCAATGGATCCAAGGTACGTGCTCCGCACATACATGCTGTGTTAGGTTAAGGTTCTGACTGGAGGTTTCTACTATAGGTCGTGCTCAAGTCGTCGCCTCGCGAAGATACCAATCTAGTCCGTGAAATCCATCACCATCGCCAATTCCTCCACCCCCACATCGCTCGCCTTTATGAAGTTGTCGTGACGGAGAAGCTGGTCTGGTTGGTGTTGGAATACTGTCCGGGTGACGAACTCTACAATTACCTTCTGCGCCATGGCCCGTTGCCCGTTGATAAGGTCAAGAGAATATTCACGCAGCTCGTCGGCGCCGTCGCATATGTTCACAGCAAGTCATGCGTCCATCGAGATCTCAAACTAGAGAACATCCTGCTTGACAAGCACGAGAATGTCAAGCTTTGTGACTTTGGGTTTACGCGGGAATATGAGGGCAAGGCAAGCTATCTGCAGACTTTCTGTGGTACTATCTGCTACAGCGCCCCCGAGATGCTCAAGGGCGAAAAGTATGCCGGCGAGAAGGTGGATGTTTGGAGCTTGGGAATTATTCTATATGCGCTTCTTGCGGGAGAATTACCGTTCGACGAGGACGATGACCAAGTCACCAAGGCCAGGATTCTCTCCGAGGAGCCGACGTTCAATGAAAAGTTTCCCGACGACGCCAAAGCCCTCATCAACCTGCTTCTGTCCAAACGCCCGCTTATCCGACCGAGCCTGAGCGAAATCTTAGCACATCCTTTCCTTTCCGAACACGCCCCCGAACAACTTGCGATTCTGAAGATTCCCCGACCTTCCGCATTCACCACCCCGTTGGAAAAGACCACTCTACAGCGAATGAAAAGTGCTGGTGTCAACATCGATGAGGTCATTGAAAGTGTGCTTGCCCAAAAATGCGACCCGCTCGCTGGATGGTGGGCGCTGTTGATCGAAAAGGAGCAGCGAAAAGAACAGAAGCGCGAGCGGAAGCGACGAGAACGCGAAGCAGAGGCCAAGAATATCCGCCGTTTGAGTGCTGCTAGCAGTCGGTTGGAAAGACTATCTGCTGCGCTTGTTGAAGTCGATGAAGAGGGTCAGCCACAGCCAGCTTCAAGCACTGCCCTTCAGGACCGCGGGAGAAGGGACAGAAGGAGTCTTCCATCCCAACTTGCTGTGCCTGAACTACCTAGTCTGCCCGAGCCCACTCCTGCACTACCGACTGATCTTGGTACTCCCCCTCCTCCTTCTGCCGATAAGGTCTCCGTTCGCTCCGTCAGTTCGACTAGGCGTCGCCCAATGCCGCCTCCCAAGGACAAGCAAGGCCAACGACAGAGCAGGTTGCACGTCAGTGCTTCCCAGCCGGAACTGATGCAGCACAATGGGGGCCTTTTCCGGCGCCGCACAGGCCGTCGTCACAACTATCCCATTATCAGTCAATTGGCCTCATTGAAACATTGGTTCGTGGAGTCTGCAAAGAGAGCCAAGTCACCTCATGCAAAAGCCGCTGGTCAAGCAGGTGGACATCATCGCAAGCTCTTTTCGGACAAGCTGAGTCCTGCCAAGAGCCAGGAAACCAACAAGAAACCTGCCTCCGCAACATCGCCTACCGCTGTGCCGCCTGAGGAAATGACGACGCCCACTCAGATCAAGCGCGCATCGAACGCCAGCAGCCTGGCTCCGAGCAGCGCGTCGTATCAGAACCACCGTCATTCATTCCCCCGGCAGCCTCGACCTCTTAGCACCAGTCACCGCAGTCACCGTAATTCGTTGTCACCGTCCCCGATTACGCCTAGAGGCTCTTACCGGCGCTCCTCAACAGGCTTGCGAGGTCGCAAATCCACTTCGTCCTCGATATCTTCCATCCGCAGCATTCACCATGCTCATACGCACTCAAAGGCATCATCTGTTTCGTCAAACAGCGTCGCATCTGCCTCGACACCTACAGCTCGCCCGGCCAAATCTCCCCACGCGTCTGTCAAGGTGCTCCCGACGACACCGGGTGCATCGTCTCGATTCCCTAGCAATATTCGCCTCGTAAGAGGAAATAATAATAATTACCTTAATGATAATGGATTCCGGGACTCGAACGACACGCCAAGAATGCACTCGATGTTTAACGAAGCGGCGCCGGCGCCGCTGCTTGCTTCCCCTTCATCAAGTCTTGTGTTTGCCCGGCGGAAACGGTCTACGTTTAAGGGTCCGATGGTCCACACAGCCAACCTCATGGTGTCTGGTGGGATGGCTGGCACTGAGTTCCCGAGTGGTGCTATCGTTCCAGAATCTGCTGCTGCCGCACGGCCTACCGCGCGGAAGAGCCAGATCATTGAGGAAGAAGAGGATGCTGAGGACGAGGAAATCGAGGAAGTGGATGCTTTCAGTGGACCTGAGGAAGAGCAGAGTTCGCCAACTCTTCGGAAGGCATTTCTCGCTCCTGCTCCAGACATTCATTCTAGTCCATCGCGTCCTCCTCGCTCTTCGTCTTTGCGAGCGGCAAGACCACCAGTGGTATCGGAGTCTACTGATGAAGAGGACCAGAAGGACAGTGCTTCCTTGACGCCCGTTGCTTCTGCTAAATAAACCTCTTATTCTAATCAACTCAAAACTCGACATCGACAACATCTGTTCATTGTTCATTTGTCTTTTTGCACGCTTTTATACCCCTTCATGCGGCTAGACGGCGCTTCTTTTTTGTTTGGATGTACTCAAGCATTTTGGATTGGTTATAATCGTTTCTCTACCCATGTCACCTGACGCCTTCGTTTTCCTTTCCTTTTTCTTTATTTATATATGCGCGTGGTCGCAAAAGACCGGCCTGCTCAAACCTTCATTCATATACACATTTCCTTTTTGTGATTCCTGTGATTCATCACACCATTCTTTCTATCCTATGTTTCTTTCCTCGTGTTTCCTATAGCCCAAATGCATGCATACATCTCTGGTGTGGTTTTGATCTACCTGTGTTTTCTTTATGATGATACCTTCGAAATTGCCTGGTATATGCTTGCTTTTCTCCCCGTTCCCATTACATAGAGCTTGCCTTGCAGGGCTGGTTCCTGGAACAGGCAGTGTATTTGGTGATATTCTTTCCTATCCTCTCCTACTATACAGTCATCAATTGCCTGTCTTCTGCTATGTCTTGTTTTATGTTATATATACATATGTGTTTTGTACATGTATTCATGTATGTATGTACTTCTAAAGTTGATTAACCTGATTTCTTTGCTTCAGTGAGGCTCTCGATAGTAAGAATACTAGTATAACTATCACTATAAATCACAAGGCATTAAACATTACGCGAATAGATACAGTGTAATATTGGCACTTTGATCAAATATTCGGGTATTTGTAGTTACTATTTAGGCAGGAGGTACGATTAGATCATCTCCGCCGCCACTGCTTTTGCTTTGTCCATCCACTTCATCCTCCGCAGTCACCAACTCTTCACCCTGTTTTGATACCTTCTTTAATACTCTCTTAATGCCTTAATAATTCTAATTATCTTCGGTCGTTTCCTCACCTCCACAATGGCAAACACACCCTCCCAAGCACTCACAAAACGCCATGCCGAACAACAACTCATGCCACCACCTCCTCCCCCGAAACGAATCAAACGCCCCTCCACCGTCCTCGACGAAGATATCTACACGAACGCATTATCGGAGATTATTTCGCGCGATTTCTTCCCCGGTTTACTCGAGACGCAGCTGAAGCAGGAGTATCTGGAAGCGCTGGAGTCGAAGGATAAAGCGTGGATCGCGAGCACGAAGAGGAAACTTGCGGATTATGTGAATACAAATGGTGCCGGGGAGGGGAGGAAGGCAGCTACGAGGTTCAGGGAGGGGAGTGTTGCAGGTGATGCGACAACGCGGTTTACAGTGGACGGGGGAGAAACGCCTAGGGGTTGGGGAGGGGATACGCCCATGTCGGTAGCGTCGATGGCCACCACCGCATCGACGGCTGCAACAGCGCAGGAACCGCGAAGAGAAATTCCCGATGTATCGAATATGGGTCTCCTCGCGTTTCAGGCGAAATATACCAGCGAGGATAACGAGTCGTTCAACAAGCTTATGGACCGGCAGAATACGAAAAAGCGCGATAAATACGCCTGGATTTGGAATGAGAATAAGGTTCCGTCTGCGCGGCAGATTGCGCATCGCACGATGGAGAATAAGCGGATTGCTGCGCAGGGTGGGAATCCGACATTGGCAATAACAGCGGGTGGGGAGGATGCTGGGAAAGAGATCAAGACGAATCTTGATGCTCGACCGGCGAAACCGGATACGTGGGATGCGAAGCCGGAGAATTCGTTAATGTTTCTTCCGTCGTCGGTTGAGGATACGCATGAGACGGGTCAGCAGAAGGCGGAGGCTGCGTCGCGGGCGGGTCCTAAGCGGGTTATGTATCAGAATACCAGGCTGCCTACTACATCTTCTGCTGAAGAGGGGAATCAACCGCCTCCTTCTCCGGCGATCTCGGCCATCCAAGATGCTATTGCTGGTCGGCCACGGTTTACAGAGACGGAAGCTGGAGTGGGGAGTTATACTGGTGGAGAGACGCCGCGAGTGAACGGTTATGCATTTGTGGACGAGGATGAACCCGAGGATCCAACATCAAGATTTGAAAATAACGACAACTCGGACGACCTCAGTCTACTAGGATTAGGAGACGCAACGCCAAATCCATTCAACATCCGCCAAAACCGCAAACGAGAAGATCTGCACCACCGCATGGTCGACCGGATTACTCGGACCAAACGCGCAGAAAAAACCAACACAATCAAATCCCCTGTGACCCCGCGGTTTGCTAGTAGTCCACGGCTGGATTATGGTCTACGCACTCCTGCATCGGGTAGTTCTGGGGATGGTGGGAAAATGTTGACTCCGGCTGCTCAAAAGTTGTTACAAAGAGTTGGAAACACGCCACGGGCATCTTCATCTTCGTCGAATTTAAAAAATATGTGGACTCCTACGCCAAAGAGAAAGTGATTTCTATGCTGTTATGATTGATGACGTCGCCCTGCTTGTGTGTTTGCATAGCGTCTATGGTTTTGCCTGCATGATATCCCGCTATTATTCGTTGACACGAACATGTAATATTATTGTTATAACCCAATGTCTCTTTTGCTTTTTCTCAATACGAGAGCAGATCAGCATCGCTTATGCTGACAGTAGAACGAGGCTTGCTTACAGTGTCCCTCTTTTCTATGCCATGCCCCTCGACAGATTGTCAACTTTTTATTCCCCTCCTCCTCTTATCCTTCTATGTCTCACTCTCTTCCTTTCCCCCGGTTTTCACATTCCCAAAGCCTAAAAGTCTAGCTTGGCCACAGTTACAATATGAGAGGACACCGACAGGACTCCATCTCCCTGCTTAGTCTTGTTATGACTCTCACTTTCACTCTCCTTATCTTTCCACCCTTGGCTACCACCGACTGCTTTTACCCAAACGGAGACCCGGGGGGATCCGAATACAAAAAATGTGACTACAACAGCACCGGCAACGCCAACATCAATATGTGCTGTGCCACAAACCGCAACGGCTCCAATAATCAGACCAATGATACATGCCTTGACAATGGGCTTTGTTTAAATATTCAAGATTCCACATATCCGGATGGGTCCCTTAATAGGTATACATCATATTGGCGTTCACTGTGCTCGACAAAAGCATGGGGTGACGGGTGCTTGAAAATTTGTACAAAACCCTCGGTATGGCATTCTGCATGGAGATAGAAATATATGTCCTGTATGCTAACATAGAGTGTGGAAATAAAAGAACGATGGAGATGAAAGTAAACACATCCAAATGACCTCCTGCAATCAGCAACCGAACTCATCATACTGGTGCTGTGGTACAGACAACACGGACTGTTGCGGTACCAGCGACGCAATCCCCATTGCCGCCACGTTCGGTGATCCACTGCCGCCCGTACTTAGCCCTGGTCTCTCGAATGGAGCAAAGGCGGGAATCGGCGTGGGTGTCGCCGTGGGCGTTATCGCCATTATAGCAGCCGGGGTTGCATTTTGGTATATACGGCGAAGACGGAGGAATGCTGCTGCTGCTAACGATAATGTCAATACTAATACCGATATGGCGGTGGTGGGATCCGCAGTAGAAGTACCAGCGCCTCCATACCAGGCGCACACTACGGTGCAGTCACCCCAGGAGTTGGAGGGGAATGGCCTTGGAAATAGGGCTAGGAAGCCAGCTGGGACGGGGGACGTGAGGCATGAATTGCCTGGAGAGTCGGCAGGTGGTGGACACAGTGCACATTGATGATTTTATGGATGATGACGATTACAATTTTAATGAGTTGGATATAATCTCTATATGATAATAAAAGTCGACATTAACTGTGTATAAGTGTCCGTCGTTCTACTCTGTAGTGTGATCCGTGCTAGCTAGGGTTCGATTAAGTAGCACAGCCGTCAAGGTCCCGAGATATTCACAAGCTTTGATATGCTTGCTCAAGGATCTCCACTAAATATCATATCATTCTATGATCCCAAGTGCAGATAATAAGTTAGGCATAACAGCATATGTGGACCCTACGCCAAGGAAAGCGACGATACAGCATATGAGCTATGACACGTTGTACCTTTGTTGGACCCTGTTTTTTTAGTAGTATTAAGGTTAAGCTTGCATTTATATCCACTTAATCATTGACTACGGTGATGTTGAGTATATGAGTACATAGAGTGATAATAGACGTGTTAATAAGGTGAGCAACTAGGGTTGTTGATCAGGGTCCGAATTCTTCTTCACTTGGAATTGTTGCCATCTTATCAATTGCCATTGATTATGAATACCTGTTTTTAGCGTTATTAAAGTTGGATTTGCGGTTATATCCGCTCAGTTATTAACAGTGGACACTATTTTATTCGTTGGCACAAGTATCTAAGGTTATTTTTGGACTAGCCCGGTGCTTTGCTTATTCGGGATACGAGAAGATGCATTTCGTGTTAATGGGCAGTTTTACTAAAGGAAACACTGCGGATACCTGCCTTTCAAACGGCCTCTGTATGAATCAAGGGGTAAATGCCACGAATAATAAAGTAACAACATATTGGCGTGATACCTGTACGAGTTCAAATTGGGGTGATGGATGTTTGAGTGTGTGCACAGATGATGCGGTATGAGGAGTCCTTTCCTGTTCGAAGATCGATGCTGTGTTCCCGTTGGCTAACATTGGAAAAAGAGAGAGGGCAATGGTAGCAGCACTATCAGAATGACCTCCTGTGATGGCACCCCAACATCGGAAACCTGGTGCTGTGGCATAAATAACACAGAATGCTGTAATTCAGACAAAGCAATCACAATTGCGGCGAGTTTCGGCTCTTCAACTTCAACACCTTCAACATCACCATCAGGCTCTCCATCTGCTGACAATTCCTCCGCGGGTCTCTCAGACGGCGCAAAAGCCGGTATTGGTGTGGGTGCTGCTGTGGGTAGTATCGCTATCATAGCCGCCGTTTCGTTTTGGTTTATGCGACGGCGTCGACAAAAATCGACTGGTGATGTCGATATGACAGATGTCATGTCAACAGGGCCTGTTTATCAGGGTTTTACTGCAGTACAGGATCAGGGGCCACGGGAGCTAGATGGGCGTGGCATGGCGCATGAGAAGCCGGCTGGCGTGGAGGATATAAGACATGAGCTGCCTGGGGAGTCTGGACACCGGTGAGAACGGATGTGGTATTGTGATGTCTTAGACTAATTGGGGCGATATACTTTTAACGGAGCATGATATATAGAATAATAGAAGCCATTTTAAATGAATGCATACTCCGCAGGTAAAGGGTTACTGGCATCCTTGACTAGAAAACTTTGACTAACAAGAACAAACAATATAGCCCTTGTACAGGGACTACTGCATGCCGAGAATTAAGTTGCCGACACTCGTTGTAAGATGTCTTATAGCCCAGTGCGAGTCCTACTTTGTCTCTTTGCTTTTTTTAGGTGCAGTCATTTTAGCTAATGGTAAGACAATGCTTATTCCCTTCATCACGGATTAGTTGCCTTCTGTTCATTCCCTTTTCTTTCCTCAAAACTCATCAATACCTTCAAGTTTGAACCCCATTCTACAACATGAGAGAACAAATCGCGTTCGCACTCACACTGCTTGCCTATCCTCTTTCGGTAACCTCTGTCTGCTACTTCCGAAATGGCAGCAGCTCCAATGATCTCGATTACCAAGAATGTCCCTTCTTTAACACGGCCATAGTTGGACACGATGCCAGGATGTGTTGCGCAACCAGCCGCGTAAATCCACCAGAGGGCAATGTCAGCTATTCCGCTATAGACGACTGCCTGCAGAATGGACTCTGTATAAATACTGCAGAAGGTACACTTATGAATGGGACTATAGCCAACATCACACAGTATCGGCGGGATTTGTGCACAATCCCATGGTGGGATGAAGGATGCTTGGATATTTGTCCAGATGCAGTACGCTGTTTCACCGCTGCGATTACCTTTATCTATGGCTAACACGGTATAGATTGAAACTGACACCGGTAGTGTCCGAATGACCTCCTGTGATGCTACACCAGATTCAGAAGAATGGTGCTGTGGTGCGAGGAACACAACTTGCTGCGGTACCCCCGATGCAATACACCTCCAAAACTTTCAAAGAATATCAACCCCATTATCAGACGGTGCAAAGGCCGGTATTGGCATGGGTGCTGGCGTGGGCGGTCTTGGTATCATAGCCGCCGTTTCGTTTTGGTTTATGCGACGGCGTCGACAGAAGAAGACTGGCGATACCAACATGGAGAAGGCGGAACTGGCAGCAGAGGGATATACTGTGCGGGGTCCGCAGGAGTTAGGTGGACATGGCATGGCGCATGAGAAACCGGCTGGGGTGGAGGATATAAGGCATGAGTTACATGAATATACGATGCATGAGTTGCACGAGGATATGATTCATGAGTTGCATGGGGAGTGCTCTGGGCAGCATGCATCATAATGAGAAGTGCGATACGGAGTACTAGGTGAATATTACATCGCTAGGGCTGTTGAATCAAAACTGAATGGCCAGAGGAGCATTGTAAGATATCTGTAGTCATACATGTCATTGTAGACTAATACTAATCTACCATAAAAGTGTCGAGCTTAGGCCTGAAGCACAAAAGCCGACTTCCAAGCCCTCCAAAACTTGACAGTCTTCTCAGCGACAATGGCAAGGATTCTGTCCGATTCTAAACCTATTCTGACTGTCTGTATAAGGACCAGTTAAAGTATTCTTATGACATCCATATGATACAATACTTCATTGTACAGAGTATACACCGTCTAAAGATGATATTCACTGGAAGAAGTTCGCCTGGATCCGGACAGCCATCTCGGAAGTCTACCATGGACGAGGTGGCGGGTAGACTGGATAAGCGACATGGCATCCGTATGAGAATGGGTCGTCCGTCCCATTGACCGACTAAGCTATACACAGCGGGCGAGATTGTGTCTAAGAACCGCCGCAATTTGCTCCTCAATGTCCTTAGAACCCGAGGCACAATTCTGCATGGCCAACAACATTGCAAGAGCTCTAATATACTTTTCCCTTTGGCTGATTCTTGCCCATGTCACAGGAAAGCCGCTTCTCGGATGGCAATATTTTCTCAAACAACAGCCCTCGTACATCGCTGGTCGTCACCATCGTTTTCCAACGGCGATTCACAGACTCGTCTTGCTCCCATGAACGTTATGAATGATTCGAGAATGTTGATAGGTTTGTGGCGTTGGATTGTTTCTTCGTGCTTTCGACCCATAGTATCCTAAACATTGTTAACAAAGTATACAAAGAGGAAAATCAATTAATTTGCACTGGAATAGGGTTACTTACCTATAGCTCATCACACATCAGGGCCACAAGCGAGCCTGAGTGAGAAGGTACAGTCTGAGGGCTCTCAGACAATACAGGAAATCCAATGCTCTCTAGATTGGATAGTATGCCAGGCCACCGATAGTGTATAGAAGATGGTGCGCTCGTTTCATATTGGCCATAGACCGCTGTCAGAGCCCCGGAGATCGAGGCTGGTATATATATAAAAGAACCGGGCAACATGTGGAAGCCCAAGATCGGGGTTTAACATATATATAAAGAAAACGCGGGCAAATACAACGGGAGCATGTCAGCCCACATCGAGACATACTTAAGTATGTGGTGGATGTTGAAATTGCAAAGACTTGCAATTCGGTTGGACATCGTGGGAATATCCGATGAAGTTATACCTCGTCTGTCTTGTTGCGTCCGCAGTAACGCCCTAAATAGGCGACGGACAACCCATGACGCAAAACAAAGAATCTGCCGGAAGGAAATGGTCTGGTCGTTTGTCGATAGACAAGTCGTATATATATAGACACAAATGCATCCCATGAAACGTCCTTGAGTCCTCCGTTGGTGCACTCGTGGTGGACCATGGCATTTTGCGGAGTATCTTTATCACATCATAAGTTAGAACAACGTGTTTTGGAGAGGACATATATGCCTGGCACGAACCATGAACGAGAGTCCCTGAAGAAACGGTGGAACAGGCATGTTAATAGGTAAAAAGACGAGGATGCTGGCTTATTTGCTCGCGACCGCGAGGTCCTTTTACTTCCGTTGGTAAACTGCACTCTGATAACGGCGTCGATCTCAAATTATGTACAATTGAAGCATCTGCGAAGGATGACCAGTAGCCATATTATGGCTTGTCGTTGTTCCGCTAGTCCTTCTCCGAGGATTCGATTGTCTTTTTCAAATCCTCTGAAGATTAAATGACGCACATAACGAGGGTATGGAGTGCGGTCCTCCAGAACAGATGAAAAACCATTTTTGCAATGGCTGGAGATGTTTGTTTATGGAGCGCAGTCCGGACACTGGAGAGGTGTATATATATGAAGTATTATATAGACATCTTGATAGTTGAAGACATGCAGGAGTAGAGAAGGATTCGGTGTGCTATTTATGCCTTGAGTACTCGGGAAATTAACCAGGCGATCATGAGAGGCCATGTAACATTCCAGGCTAGGACATACAAGACAACAAATAATATGCAAAGGAGACATGGGTCCAGTGTGATCTGGCAAGTATCGTGCATTGCTGACTGCATAAAACAAGGCTGTAAATGGCATAAGAAAAAGAAACTATGAAACAAAACAGGATTGTTAGCCATTGGCAGCGGCAACTGTAACATTGTTGGCAAAAGGGTATCGTATCCATGCTGCTCGTCTGGCATTCGTAATAAACAGGAACCAATATACTGAGAAAAAGCAATCAACTATAGTTGAATCCACGACAAAGCCCAAAACACCCCCAACGCGTACAAGATAACCCATAACCGCCCATACATACTCGTCGCACTACTCATGTAATATGCAGCTCCCATGTAATTGCACGCCACAGTATTGTTACTCCGTCGGCCGTAGGAAGCGTCGAGTTGCTGACCCTGCGGGCAACTGAACTTGAGAGACGCTGGGCAACTCCTCACCAAATTATGGCAAACATCCTGGCACGGGAGGATTTCCTTGTATGGCCCCGGTTTGATTTGCTTATCGATAATCAAGTTACGTGATTGATTCGATATATAGGTCTTGCGGTCTGCATGTTCCGGGTCGAGTGAAGTGCCGTTGATGAAGTCTTGCCCGGCGTTCCGAACTCGCAGGAAATCGTCGCCGCTAGAATAGTCCTCGCAGCGGGGGATGGTTACTGAGCATAGCCAGTCCTTGTACGCTTGAGAGCAGTCGTCGCAATCCACGGCCAGTGAGTACCTATTGTAACGGGATGCATTGCATTGGACCTGCTGCAGCGAGTAAGTGAAGTTTTTCCACATCGAAGAGGCGTAATCGTCGTATGTTTTCTGTAGATCTGCTTTCTTCATGGACGGATTGGACGGCACGGCGTATGCGACTTCGGAACAAAAGGACAGACCGAATATGATAGCGCAATTACCATCTATTTGGTCAGCACTTGCACATTTTCGGAGTGTCAAACGAATTCTCACCAGCTTTGGTTGTAAACTGTCTCGGTTGCCAAACCTTCCCACCACCCCCCAGAATTCTATTACCAGAATCAGTCGAGTTTCCATCCATTGCTAGAATTGCCAAATAGGTAGAACTCTGGTTTAGACCCTTGGCGTAGAGCAGCTCCTTGGGATGGTTCCCGGGGCCTATATCCGTCATGTTCGTTTCAACATTATTTCCCTTAATCTGTGCGTTCTTCTGAAGGGCGCAATAAGATTGCTCCAGGCCCGTTATGGCTGTATCATTACGGTTGTTGACAAATATCGTATACGGAGGTTTCTTCAGGTTCATCCACTCATCGTAATTCTCTTGAGTTCTGTTGGAGAGTGACAGGTTGCCTGTTGTAAAAAGCGCCGAGTTCACATCTGTATCGACAAAGAGCAGGTTCGGCTCAAGGCTAACGCGATGGAAGAATGTATCCGTAGACGCCGCGATTTGATACGAGTAAGACCCTGAATAATCCTTCGAATCCGGTGCGGATACCCCAATATAAACGGTCTCGTCGTTCTTCCATGTCATGTTCAAGTAGCCATCCACGGATGTTTTATGGTCATCGTCGTTACCGGGTGCTGGCTTCTCTGTCGAGCGAGAAACATGGATGCTCAACTGTGGCAGTTCGGGGGTTTCACCTGTAATTGTCGTATTGAGATCCGGTTTTTGACAGGTAGTCAAGGAGATATAAACCGCATTATCGCCTCCTTCGCTGATAGGTTCTTGCTTAATCTGATTGTCACTCCCCGTAACATTCGCCGGTAGACTAGACAAAGTCGTAGTGCCATTCGATTTGCCGCGGTATTTCTCCGCCTCAAAGTAATACCACTGCGTTGTCCCCATTTTGATATCATTCGACTTGAACTCATTATTCGCGAGAGAATCCGAATCCCCCGCAGGCGCTCTCCGAACAACATCTAACCCCAACGCCTCTGTATCCTCATCCCCGCGGATCTCCAGACCATTGTGCGACCCAAGCGCGAGCTGAATATGTGCGCTATTATCACTGAATATCAAGGTCTTATTCTGGCTTTCAGGAACCACCAAGTCGCTGGCATGGGCGTGAGGGGCGGAAACACTGACGGCGAGGGCGAACGCGGCGAGGAAGGTTGCGCTGACAGTTGCAGCAAAGCGGCACTGCGGGAGTGAGGGATTATATAGGCGCATGGAAATTTTCGTTTCGGTTTAAACGGCGAGGCGATTGCGGACCGTGAGCATGGACGAAGTAGACGAATACGTGAGGGGAGAGCTGCGATGGAGGACCGGCGAAGCGACAGCCAAGAAGAAGCAAGTTAAATCGGGAATGAGCAGACCAAATTCGGCGGAAATTCTTCGTTAGGTTCCAGAGAGGGTCTTCTTTGACATCGGTTCAATTAAATGTCGCATTTCTGGGAGTCTGGTCAAAACTGAAATTGTCACTTACTCGATTGGCGTTGCCTGCTTTAGTTGATGATACCTGCGCCACAGGTGGATCGTGGCCCAACCACACGTCGCCCTATAATGGTCCATAAATAGTATCATTCAATATGGCCCAGGAAAGTGTCTGAAAACGCTCAAGAACTTTTATGTTTTTTTTTTTTTTTTTTTTTTTTTTTTGTTTTCTGCCTATGCAAGATTACTAGTGTAGTCTATAGCTAGTGAGATATACGGATTATTATACGAACAGGGTTCCTTAAAAGGAAAGCCTGCGCTGCGCTATACAAGCCTATACCAGCGAGCAGCAAGACCGCTGAGGATGATCACACTTGCAATGACTCCCACAATGCCAAAGAACCATCCAAGTCCTTCAGCATGCTGCCCTGGCACCTCAACGTTCATACCAAACAGACCGCAAATCAGGTTCATCGGGACAAGCATGGTCGCGATGAGGGTTACCTTGCTGAGGACTTTGTTGACATGGTTGCCCAAAACCAGGTTGGTGACGTTGAGTTGCGCGAGGTAGTTGGTGTGCGAACGGCTGAGCATCTTTTCGAAATGGGCCAAATTGGACATCATGGTCACGACGTGGTCCTGAATGTCACCCAGGTACAGGCCAATGTCTCCACGCGGAGTTACCGAATACTGCTCATTGCAGCGCTTAGAAAATCCTCGAATGACATCGGCCTTACCTCCCAGGAGGCGCATCAAGCTCATAACCTTCTTCCGCAGTCCACCGATGCGAGGCAAGAAGGACTCGAAATCATCGACCCGCGCAATGAACACGAGATCTTCAATTGCCTCGGACTCGACTTCAATCTCCCGAATCACAGGGCCAAAGCTATCCACAATGTCGTCACTAGAGTGATGTTAGATAAACAAGTATCAGATGTCGGTTAGGGGGAAAAGCAGGACATACATCATGGCATAGCAAATCCAGTCGCTACTGAGGGACACGTAGTCACGAAGCCTCCCGATACGCTTTCGGACATTAGCAGAGTGAGGGTTTTCGGTGAAAGAGAAGGAGATGACGCCGTCACGGAACACCACCATGTAGAAGTTGACGGGCTCCATGAATTGGTCGTCCGTTTTGTCCATCTGATAAAATGTCCGGAAACACACGAAATAGTACTGCTTAAAAAGCTCAACCTTCTCGCGGGCTTCCTGGGTCAAGATGTCCTCTGTTGTCAGCGGATGGATCGAGAATGCACGGGAGAGAGCGTGGACTTCAGATTCGGTAGGATTGACAACATCTAGCCACCACACACCACCCTCGGGGCCTAGTTGGAAGAGATCCCGGAAAGTGTCTCCCGGAAGAACGAGGTCCCCCAGTTCCGCGGCGTGGACCGTACTCTGGGACTCAGACGAGAAAAAGCCGAAACGACTGGGCTCGTTTTCGTTTTGAAGCTTCTCAACCAATTCATTCTCGTTCACGGGCTTTCCAGTAACCTTCTCAGCATCCTTGGCATCGAGTTCGAACGAGGAACGGCCAATGCTCAAGGAGGGCTTGCTCTCATCCTGTTTGGCGCCGGGGCGCAGGTCGTGAAAGACACGGGGCTTCTTGCTCTGGGAACTCAGGCTGTGCTTGCGCCTGGTTTGCGCAGGCTTGGTCTTCTTGTTCAAAGCCACGAATTCCTCCAATTCCTCGTAATCAATGACAGGAATCCGCCCGGGCTGTTCATAGGTCGGAACGGGAACGCACGTGTCCTCTGTGGGATCCAGCTGGATATCGCCTGGTTGAGGTCGGACAGCACTCGCATTGCTGAACGTCGGACGACGGGGGTGAGTGCCGCCAGACACGGTGCGCTGGAGTATAGCTTCCAAGTCCGGAGCCACATGGCTCTCTAGGGTGTTCGCACGCTCGCGGCGTCGCGGGTCGGCGAACGCTTCAACGGAGTTGGGAGGAGAAGTTGACCGTGCCGAAACGGATGATTCTCGCGACATGTTCGCAATGTCCTGTTGTGTGCGGCTCCAAGCACGTCCTGGACGGAGATTCCCTGCTGGGTCGACGGAAAAGCGCCGCCCAAGACCATCTTTGATTGACCGGTCGTCGTCCACGATTGCTTGCTCGAAATCCCGAGAAATAGATCCTCGCTCGCGGAACGCGTCTTGAACATGCAGTAGATCCGGACGCTGGGGAGTTGCCTCGGGGCCAACTCCCTGGGCGGTATTTTGTCTGCTCAACGCATGGTCCAGGCCGGGTTCGGCGTGCGGCGCAGCATCCAACTGGAACCGATGATCGTCCAATTCGGGGACCGGTGTGCTGAACCTTGTAAGGCACAAGTCCTTTTCGGATCTGGGTGACTCGGTCATTTTGTAGGTTCAATTGATTTCCCCCTTTTTTGTCTTTCTTTTCTTTTTCCTTTGCTTTTTTAAGTACTTTTTAGTCGTTTCTCCGCGAGGCGTGATATCGAGCCATCAATTGAAGATTTTTAGGTGGTTTGCTTCGACCGACTCTCTTCTTTTTTTTCTTTCTTTTTCGTATTTGTCTTGTCGTTCAAGGAATTGGGGTTCCCTTTTCTTTCACGAGATGGGGTGAACAAGCACTATTCCTCCATCCATCAGCCAGACCCCTCGCAAGGGTCTGGCATCACCGACACAGGTCTGCCCGCCAAAGTAAGGTGCGTTGACAAGGACTCGTGTTAGGGGGGTCTGGTGTCGCCCCCAGAAAAGACCCGGAACTTGGGGCCTAGAAGAGGGTGAAGGGGAGTAGACTGAGAGGATTGAACGCCCGCCAACTTGGCTGAGTGGTGAGCAACGAAAAGCGGCTGCGCCGTAGTCGTCAATGAAGGGGAGAAGAATCGACAGAAAACAGAAACCTCTTTCCGTATATTCTTCTATGACGTTAAGTCGGGAAAATGTTCAGAACAAAGAGAGAAGAGATGAAACAGAAACACAAACACAACAAAATATGGGGGGGGAGGGACAGAACAAAACCAAACATAAATGGCAATGAGTCAACTGAATCGAGCGAATGGGTGGAGGTTTTATAAAAACGTGAAAATCCAGGAGTGAAAGCAGTAGTGGAAGTTGAGAAGGTGTGGAAGTTGCTTCGGGGGAAAAGAGACGAATCACAGGGTGGCAAAAAGTTTTTTTTTGCGCGGCCGCCGCAGCACTAAGGATTATTAGTGTTGTGACAGAGAGAAATTAACAAAAAAATAAAAATAAAAATAAAGAAAAATAAGAAAACATAACCTCACAGGTTATGTGACTTATCTAAGGGGGAAAGAAAATAAGAGAAACAGAATGGAAAGAGAGAAATATTTGGCTTATTTAAAGCGCAACGGAGAGGGGCATCAAAGCAAGTCAGAGACTAGAAGCTCCATTCGAGGCAGACGCATAATAACAAGAGAGGGAAATAGACCGGTGATGGCCCCGGCTCAGTTTAGCCGCAAAACAAAAGCCCACCGGAATGTCCGTTGGAGTATTTTCTCCATAGAGCAGCACTACATGATAGTACTCTGAGTATGTTCTGGACGGTCTGGACGTGGCATTACTACACCCATGTGGTCGAATCTTGAAAAAGCAAAGTTTATTTAGCGAGAAGATTCCAATGATAGAGCAGTAAAAAAAAGAGCCGATCTGATTTGGTGTGGCTTGAACTCACGGTTCATACCATAAATGCCTTGGAATGTATGTAGGAAAGACCTAAAATCTGTAATATTCACTGCATGAAACTGCCGGCTTGGCTCAAGACTATCACCGCCAGATCTCATGATAGTACAGAGTACTCTGTAAAGAGTATGGTATTTGCACATCCCACGGTTGGTCCGGTGCAACCGGATTGCTGGTTGCAGGAAATATGGGATAATTGAACTTCAGATGACTCTTTCTGCAGCCCTGAATTTGACGGCACATGATTAGGTATCTGTGCATCTGTACGGATACTCTATAGTATCTCTGTTCTATCACTTCTTACCGTGTCGTGGCTAATCCCCTTTCGGCAAGAGGGGGATGATGACCGCTCCACCGCCCGACGTCGGCCCTCGCGGGGGGGCGGCAGAAAAAAAAGTAAGGGCAAAAAAGAGTCATTGGAGGATATGTCTGTTGTTGATTGACGAGAAAAGACGGTCAATTGCGGCTATTTCTTCTCCGGTCCTTGAATTATTGCCAGTTCCCTCCTTGATTCATTGAACCTTGACCAACTCCAATCCGTTCCACTCTTCTTACCCACCCGCCATGGCCTCTTTCGTTATCAGAACGCCCTGTTCATCCGCCAACATTGGTCCTGGCTTCGATGTGATCGGCCTGGCCCTATCCCTCTACCTTGAGCTTCATGTTACCGTTGACTCGTCCAAGTCATCGTCGCAGCAGCCCCTCAACTGTCTGATCACGTACGATGACCAGAGCAAAAGCACCGAGAAGATCAGCTTGGACCCCGAGGTGAATTTGATCACCCGTGTAGCGCTGTATGTGCTCAGATGCCACGACCAACGGGCCTTCCCTTGTGAGACCCGTGTTCATATCGCCAACCCCATTCCTCTAGGTCGGGGTCTGGGGTCTTCCGGTACTGCGGTTGTAGCCGGTGTGATGCTGGGAAATGAAGTTGGTCGTCTGGGATTGAGCAAGGACAGACTACTGGACTACTGTTTAATGATTGGTACGTGGAATGATGCTACATTGAATAGCGCATTTGCTAACTCTTCCCTTCCTACAGAGCGTCACCCGGACAATGTCGCCGCATCATTATTCGGCGGCTTCGTTGGAACTTACCTGAACGAACTCAAGCCCGAAGACGTTGCTCGGACAGAAATCCCTCTTAGTGAGGTTCTACCCGCGCCTGCCGGTGGAATTGATACCGGCAAACAGCCCCCAGAGCCCCCGCTGGGCATTGGTCATTACAGGAAGTTCCAATGGGCCAAGGAGATCAAGACGATTGCCATCATTCCGGACTTTGTGGTGCCCACTGCTAATGCACGGAATGTGCTTCCCACGTCATACTCTAGAGCTGATGTGGTAGGTCCTCTTACGCCGCTGACGGTGACTCAGAATGCTCACTAATGCGCGAAAAGGTCTTCAATCTGCAACGTGCTGCTCTGCTTCCCGCAGCATTGGGCAGCTCCCCACCGGACCCCGATATGATCTATCTCGCCATGCAGGACAAAGTCCACCAACCATACCGCAAGACCCTCATCCCTGGGCTGACGGAGGTCCTCCAGTCGATGAACCCAAGCACGCAACCTGGTCTCTTGGGTATTTGCTTATCGGGTGCAGGACCAACTATCCTCGCGTTGGCCACTGAGCGATTCGAAGAGATTGCGGGCCGCATTATCTCTCAGTTCGAAGCCAACGACATTTCTTGCCAGTGGAAGCTGCTGCAACCTGCCCAAGAAGGTGCCACGGTGGGTTATTCTTAATGCAACTCGGGAGTTAATATAAAGGGAATATACAGCGAGTTTGTTACATTGGATGATCCCCTTTTTTCCATTAGAAGACACGCGGCACATGATACTGTTTGGGTTCCCACTGTTTCCGTTTATAGACGATGCTGAGAGGAGAAGAAAAAGTCGGTGAGACCTCTTTCTTGCTGAAAGGTCACATTGACGGACTCTATATCCGGCTTGATGTTTGTCTTGCATCTGCATCCTTCTTTTTTCCTTATGATTCGTGATTCGGTCCGAGGAGTGTTTGATGATTCGACATGAGAGCGATTGGTTATTCAAAGATTGTTCATAGACTTGGTTATGGAGTGAAATGAACATTATTCTACGAAGGTTCACCGTTTGATATCTTGCATAACTATGGATTGCATTTGTTACTGGTAGGAGTAATTCTTGTGGAGCAGTAATCAAGCGCCTTTCTATTACAACTATATTTTATTTTCTACTTCTATTCAGACTCAGATACCCCAAATTGAATGTTAAATTAGAGTATAACCTGATATTTTACTACTATGAGACAGTAATGTTACCATCTCCATCCAAGGCCTCAAGGCGGTAACAAGGCGCACTCCGCAGTCCGCTCCAATCGACCACCTAGACCACCATTATCACCCACGTCAAGACATACAGTCAACCTTTTGCATACGATCTATACAAACAAAGCCAGCACAACGACAAAAACGAAAATGGATGACATCCTCGCCCCGATCCAAGACCTATTCGAAGGCCAGATTGTGAGAACCGCATCAGCCGAATCCCAGGCCACATTGCTAATCGATACTGGATAGGACTTTCAAGGTCAGCGCATCGCGGAGATACTGTCTACGGTTCTTTTGATTATTTCAGGGGTTGGTTTTCCTTTCTTTCTTTTGCCGTGTGGTTTTGAGGTTGCTTTGGGCATGAGCAAGGCTAATGGTGTTTTGTTTGCTACTAGGTCGTCGCGACGATCGTCGGATACGTTTACCAAGATATTCACCTCACGCTTTGGATTGGATTGGCTGGGACGCTTGTTACTGCTCTTGCGGTTATTCCCCCTTGGCCTTTTTACAATCAGAACCCCGAGAAATGGCTCGTCCCTGGGGCCGGGAGAGCGGCCGGCGCAGGGATCATGATAGATGGTGTTAAGGTTTCATAAAAGCAACATGGTTTTGTGTTTCGCGGTGGTGACTTCGATGATATATAATAGCAATGCATTCAATTGTTTTTCTCTTTATCTGAAACCCATCGCTGAAGCTCTGAAAGATCAATACCGTAACGCCGTCTTAAGCCATTTCCTGCCCGATCGGGGGCCGCGTTCTAGGAGCATACATCTCTCTGCATGAGATGAACCGCCGAAAGTCGAGTTCGTGAGTGACAGTAGATGTTTGTATAGCAAAACACCCAACGTCGAGTAGCTGTCGTTTACCGACCATACTTCTGGAATTCCCAGTCTCTGTTATCCAAGGGGCAGACTTGACGAGTCTTCAACCAACGGGATATGCAGTGGAAATGGAAGGCGTGCTAGAATAAGAAACTCAGGTCAGCTCGGTTGATCGATAGCAAATTGGTCGATAGCAAACAACAGTGCTCAACTTACGTTGCAAATTCCCCATGCAACTGTACACTCCTCATTTGTGGACGAGCCTTGGTTTGCTTGACACTCGATGCACAGATCCATGATATGGTTACGGCAAATAGCACAGTTGTCGACAACAATATCCCATGCCCAGAGAGCAACCGCGTTCCACTAAACAAATGCCAGTGGTTAGCGCCTGGCTTCAGTAGCTTGACTGATAAACCTGTGGTGTACCTTCTTGACCTCGAATCTCTTCTTTCCATCATTAGCACCCTCGGACTTGGAAGTTCCCTTGCCCTTGGCCGCGGGCTCTGCGGCAGCTTCCTTCATCTCGACATCAGCCATTTTGCTGTTCTGGTCTTGTAGATATTAAGATCGGTCGCACGGACGAAGTCGAGTGTCAATAGGCGCTGGTTGCGTAGCTAGACTACTATTCCGGGGCGGTGTTAGACGCTGATTTTGAGGCGGTCGGAGCTGGAGGTAGCAGAGTGTACGCACAGGGTACCTAACTAGTTAGATATTGCTAACTGACGTAAGTAAGAGTGTGGGAGGGGCAACTAGCAGTCTTTTGGGCATACTTTTTGAAACACAAAAACCACTCTGTTTGTCGCGCTAACACTAAAAACAACAAGCACTGATCCGTGACCAAAAAGAACCTCTGATGTTATTATTGTTGTTGTTGTTGTTTTTGCCTCCAGTGGCGCTTAAATTGGAGAGAGAAAGCAACTCATAGGCAGAACCAACAATCCAACAGTCAAACAAGACGGTTAGTCATCGCCGATCCCCGCTTAGGGTACCAACTTGAAGCCTGCTTTCATTCATCCCCGTCCTTTCCTTCCCTTCTTTCTCTTCTCTTTCTCTTCTCTTCCTTTCCAGGAATGTTCCTTTCTATCATCAATTATTGATTGTTTACGGAGTCTATTCGGTTTCAGTCAGCAATGCTTTAATTTCCTCCTTTTCTTATCCTTCAGTACTTTCTTTTGCGACCTAGTTATGCACATCGTTTGGAGTTTTGATTTGGGCCACTCCTTGCACTTACTCTGATCCTAATATCTACACCACCTGCGACCGAACTTACTATCGTCAACCTTCACCTTCGAATCGTTTCCTTCGATTAGCGCACCTTTTTAAGCCTCTTTCGACCTGACTATTCTCCTCGCTGCTCTTATTCAATATCGACTGCTGGACAGTATCTCTTGATTCGTTACTGTCATTCGTCTATCTACGTCTCTTATCCTTATCGCTTCTGATTTTTGACCCACAAAAATCATCGTCTGCTTATTTTTCCTATCACCTTCCAAGCAACTCGTTGCCATGTCGGCTCAGATTCAATCGCCTACGCCTCCAACCCCCAAGGGGCCTCGGAATAACCGGCGCCATCCGAAGAAGACCACTACACCACACACCCAGAAAGCTACTTTGTTAACCACTCCCCCATCATCGCCGCCCAGGAATCTTAGCCCTGGGGGAGCAGCAACCGACTCATCGACCAATGTTAATTTGTCCAAGAAGAAGAATCCACGATCTGCGAAGAAACCGCCGCAAAATGGGCCCAAGGGCTCTCCGTTCAACAATGGGCATCGCCATACCTCTTCGCAAGGACCCACAAATACCCCGCAGGTGAAGGACAGCCCTCATTATGCAGGTCCGACATTCCACGCATCTCCTGCTCCCTCGGCCCTTCCCATGCCCAGTTTCTTTTCCAAGTCGATGCCTGAGTCAGACCTTGCACCCACAGCGGAGTCGGAAAACGAAGGCTTAGAGGGTGAACCGGATCTCGAGACCACGCCTTCGAAGCCAAAAGGTCGTCCCCAACCATCGAGCCAAGGAGAGCAGTCGACCCCGCTAGATTTCCTGTTCAAAGCGGCAGTGGAGGCGCGAAGTGCGCAAGCACAGCGCAGCCCGGAAACAAAGCCCACGGTCCGTTCTCCCCAAACGGATTCGAAAGCTCTTCCACAACGTAACCCCAATGGCTTCGCCGGTGGGATGTTTCCCATAGAGATGGAGAATGTCGGATCGCCAAATTTCCAAATTGGACCCTCCTTTGCTACATCTTACAAGGACCGTATGGATGCGCTCCGCTCTGCCAGCTCCCCGTCTCAGTCCCCTCAGTCGCTGGCGGAAGTTGATGAGGGCGAGCGAAAAGCGAAGACCGAAGCACTCAAGAGCTTGTTGCTGAATCCTCGACCCCAGCGCCCATCGTCTGCGTCTCCTCTCGTGTACACTCAAGCAAACAGCGTAAAGGAGCGTCCAAACCCCAGTCCGAATGTGCCTCATTTTGCGACTCCATCACGAACGATTTCGGGTCCACCAGCGACTGCTTCCCATGGCTTTTCAAATGAACAAAAGCAGCCGCCATACACGAATGGGATCCATTCCCCGCTTTCGTATGCCCGATTGGGTGGGCCGCATCCATCCATCTTGAGGAAAGAAATCCCTACCTCGGGCCCTACTTCGGCGGGTGTCACCAGCGAAGCTTTCCCTTTTCCTTCGCCGTACATGGGTTACAATCAGCCTGATTTCCCACCCCGCTGTGCGCCACCGCCGCAGTACAGGTCTCCAGCACCCTACTCGACTGCATCGCCAGCAATGCCGGCGCATTCTTCTCCCCAAGTCCTTGATACTAAGAAGATGGAAGACGACTTGCGGAGGATTTTGAAGCTTGACGTTCATTCAAGTTTTCCAACCAACGGCGTTCAGAGTTCATTTGCATGATTCAGCGAGCGTGCCTTGTTTGGTCCAGCAGTATTCGGGATCAGTATGCTCCTTTCCTGTTTTTCTTCGATTTTCTCTCGGACCGAACCGAGCCCATTTCTTGCAACTCGATTTCTTGAATTTGAATCTGCCATTTTTTTTCATGCAGCGAACATGTTACGCAACTGATTTTTTTTTTTTTTTTTTTTTTTTGTGTACCCTCGTGGTCGTCCATTGTTTCTGTGTTGTTTCGTCCCTTTTTGGTCATGACCTCCAGTGGTCACAGTCTCTCGTCTCGATCCTCTCTTGATGACATGGTTTCCGATGTTTTTTTGCCTATCATGGTTCATGTGAGGGACGGTTATTCTTGTGCCTCGGGGTTTCTCGGTTCTTTCGCGGGGTTATTATTTTCTGATACCCCCTTTGGTTGCATCGAACCCGGAGTCTGGTGGTTCTTGATTTTTTTTTTTTTTTTTTTTTCTCCCTGGGTGTGCTTTCCTTTCCGGAGTTTGTTGGTTGAAGATGGTTTGATGTCAGCGACTGCGAGCCGCTGGTGATACTCGCGCTCTTTTCCTTGATACCATCTGGCACTACTCTTGTTCTTTTGTTTTCTTTTTTGAAGGATGGCCTGCTCGACAGGGCAAAGTCATTCATTGCACTTTTTCGTTTTCCTTAGCTTAGTCTGTTATTATTCTTGTTATATATGCTTGACGGCGCGCATCCAGCCGGCAGGTTTGATCATTTTGGATCGTGGAACTCCGAGTCTGGATCCGCCATACATTTATGGGAGGGATGAAGTTTTGATTTCGGTTTGGGATAGTCATGCTGACACGGTGTTGGCTGGTATCTCTGGATGACCGAGTTTCTTTTCTGTTATGTTTATCAACCAACTTCTTACATTCTTTTGAAATGAACAAACCAGTCACTCGTTTATCTTTTTCGTGCCATAGGCACACCTTCACCATAGAATTTGCGTAAGCCCTGACCTGCAAACAGAGAGTTCCTGAAAGAACGGCCCGGCGGTACGGAGTATGCTATCCAATCTCGCGACTCCTGCACCATGACAATACCGAGCTCAAGACCCCTTTTCTTCTTTCTGTCTTGTTTCATCTCTTCAGGACAGAAGTTGATGATTGGATATAATCCATTTCTCTAATATCCGCCGTCTCCGCTGGGCTGATTACTTGTGGAGTTGTTCTTTGGGGTACTGTACGGGGTAGTACAAAGTACGAAGTAACTCAGGGTGATGGTGGAAAGGCTACGAAGTTTTGTGGCCTTTGATATTCATTTTCCCATCGCGGCGTCGCCGCTTAAAAGCGCCCTCCAGTCAATTTCTAGAACAGGCTGAGCGCGACTACCGCGAGGGGAATAATTAGAATATAATATAGAAGACGAGGGACTAGCCCCAGGAACTAATAGGGGCTTGAGGTCTAGTCTCGGGCCGACGACACACTGTCATGGCTTTAGATGGATGATACGTCTCCAAACACCACCCCAGCATATTAGATGTCTATTCACAAAACGTTGGTTAAATTAGATGTTCATGGAGATATAAGTGCCCTCAACCTAAGAGGTAATAGCCATGGTCGAAAGACGAACCGGTCAGGTAAAGAACCAGGACTTGCGCTATTATGTTGATAATTGACGTGCTTATGGGCTGCTCCGGGGTAACATGATGAAAGTAGGTGTGATGTTCAATGAGGCTTCTTATCTTGCTTTGTAGGTGTGGAGTTTTTGCAGGCTAACAAGGCCCATTAGTCGTACAATGCTCCTATCAAAAAGTCGAAAGTCCGAATACTCTACTATATATTCGGACACACGTATTTAATAGCTTAAGCCTGTCGCCTGGGGTATTTATATACGGAGTTAAGACGACTGCAGACTCCGGGGATCGTCCGTTGAATTGCGGAGTATTGACTGCTGTCATATCCCGCTTCAGAGCATCTCATACCCGGGCTTAGAACTATGTATATATTTGTGAAATTTCTTTCCAAAATACCATGGCCAGCATTTCTACCATAGTCCTTTCCTCTGGCTACCATCAAGGGCAAGGCAATCTTCAAACGCGACAATCATGGCGAAGCTCCAAGCCACAGCAGTACCTCAGCTGAAAGCCCAGATTTATGCTGTGACAGGGGAGCCCGATGGGGTCCCGGGCATCGCCTTCGCCGCTGTGAATGTAAGAATCTTAGAATCATTTAACGTCTGGTGTCCGCCTGTGTGGCCTATGTGTACTAACAGATATCTTTCCTTTCCGCAGAAATCCGGCGACGTGATCTTCGAGCACGCTTCTGGCAAGCTTGGCTTCGGCCGACCAGAGCCAATGAAGCTGGACAGCATCTTCTGGCTCGCGAGCTGCACGAAGATGATCACAAGCATTGCCTGTATGCAGGTAATTGAGAGGGGTTTGCTCAAGCTGGATGATGTCGAGCTAGTTGAGAAGCTGTCCCCTGTTAGTGTGCCTTACCCAGGTCGAAGGAAGAAGCCAGGAGGGAGGCAAGCGTGAGAACAGATTAAATCAGCTGACAGTGTGTATACAGGAGCTGAAAGCCGTGCAAGTCCTCCAGGATGACGGCACATTGGTGCCCAAAGAGAGAGGAATCACGCTTAGAATGCTGTTGACCCATACATGTACGTCCTTACCATCGACCGATCCCGTTGTTATCTCGCAAGGCTGAGACTATTCCTTCTCGCTAACCGGCTTTGGCTATTCGTTCTTCAGCAAGAGGCTACTCCGTTCATACGAATCAAGAGGCCTGGACGAGTTCACCGTACTTACCACAAGATCCTCAGCCAGCCTCTTCTGCACCAGCCTGGTGAGAGGTGTGAGTACGGGTAAGCATCCTCACTCTGAATATCATTCAAAAACCCTAAACTTCTTCTATAGCATCAGCATTGACTGGGTTGGCCTCCTGGTTGAGCGTGCCACTGGCGTCTCCTTGAACGACTACTTCCAGGAGAACATATTCGCTCCTCTGAACATCAAAGAACTAAATATGTTCCCAACCCCTGAGATGCTCTCCAGGCTGTGCTTTATGAACAAGCGCGCCTCAGACGGCAAGGTCTCGCTCAATGAATACGGCCACCTCAGTCGCAGCCAATTCTTGGCGCATACGCCCGAGGAGAAGAAAGTACTCTTCAACCATGGTGGCCATGGCTTGTTCGGTCGCCCCAGTGAGTATTTGCAGATCATTTCTATGCTTCTGAACGATGGCACGTATCCTAAGACGGGGAACAAGATCCTGGAAAAGGAGACGGTCAATGAGATGTTCACGAATCAGATCCCACAGTTCCCGGATTTTGGGCGACAAGTACGTCTGCTCCCTCCCTGCATACCCTCTTTCTCACTTTCCTCCATTCACACTGTATTGCAAAGGCAATCTGACTTTTTACTCCATCCAGATAATCGACCCATCGCGCGTCGACCTGACGAACCCCTACTCCGACTTCTACCCGGAGCCCAACAATCCGCCGCAAGGCTGGGAGTTAATCTTCTTCCTTCACTTTACAGGACAGCCACACGCATTCCAAGGGTACGGCCTGGGGGGCAGGTCTACCGAATGCGTTCTGGTGGTGTTATCGCCAACGCGGCATCGGAGGCATGATTGCGGCACAGATCTTGCCGTAGCTTGACGCGAAAGTCTTGGGTCTGTGGGGAGGACTGGAGGCGTCCATTGATGCGGCTCTTGGATGAGAAGAGAAGTAGGGAGGGTTAATAAAGAAAATAAGGTGGCTCTGTGGGCAAAAGAGGGAAGGCGACTGTAATGCGGGAAAGTCCGCATAGAATAAGAGACAGCAGTGAAGGTTATTTCCAGCACATTATCCAGGTCCTTCCTAACGTCTTCTTTCTCATGGTATTGGTAGAACTTTCAAACTATCAGAAGGAAATTCTAGTGTATCGTCGGGTTGTTAGTCTCTGAAAACACTCGACCCACAAGCCACCGCATGCTGTTAGTATGCAGTCAATAACTTAAACTTTCTATATTGAATTCAGAATGGTCAACAACATGGCTGGAAAGGAGTAACTACAGGTCGTATATGGCCGCATTATTAACAGCGGCAATCCGGCAAATACGGATGGAGCAGGCCCACGGCAATCCTTCTAGAATCCTTTAGTTCGATCTAGTGGAGACGGCGGCTGTCCTAGCGCTGCAAAAGGTTGCCATGAAAAATGAGAAAATGGCGGAAATTTAAGGAAGCAGGGCTGATAATATTATTACTGTAATCCCTAGAGAAGACTATGGATGGGGGATTGTATAGGGGAAGGTATAATAACCTATAATTAGTTACTACCTGTCCCCCTGGGTGGATTATTACTGGAGATTTCTATTATTATTATTATTGTTATTATTATTATTATTATTATTATCAGGGACTGAGCAGGGGTTTAGGGGCGTTTTGAAGAATTGGGCCGAATGCACGTGCTGACATCGACATCGATAGCTGTATATGCCTGTTTGTATACAGAGCATAGGACGAATACGAATAGTGAACAAGAGAATATCGAATACTATAGATAGATTTATGTGTGCTTATCAAGAATCATCAGCGAGATCTGAACAAAATGACGACAGAAATGTTCTCAGCAATTGGGAATAGTATGGAGTACAAAGCACTGATATTCTTTGATATCATATCATTTAAGCAAAGATAAGAGAAACCGCAATAGGACAATTGATTCCGTATACCTTCAGAATGTTGACCGTAGACGGAAGGACAGAGGAATGCGGCGTGGACATTGAGGTCATGATCAACGGCAACCGGCAGTCAATCAAGCACACAAAATAACGGATTGAATGTCCCTGGTACGGAGTTGAGTACAGGTACTCTGTACACTATTATGTACGGTAGTAGTAGTACCACTGGATAGTTGCCACTGGGCGGTCTGGGACCGGAACCAGCACCTTCTTCCAGGGGGTTTTTATATAGATAGACACAGGTTGATGCTCGCTGTTCTTTTCTTAGTGTTGCTTAATAGTTCACTAGCACTTGTCAGTATTCAGTGCTAAAGAAATCGTGGTCTGTCGACAAAGTTCATTCAAATATCACTTTACCACTTGACTCCCATCGTCAACTTCATTCTCTTTTAAATAACCAAATTAAAAGAAGAAATACATTTAAATACAGTGAGTGAGAGGGTGGTGGTTGCTCTCCCTCGCTTTGGGGTCCTGGCAAATTATCTCCCCCATCTGGCCCATTCCATCTTCTTTCTCTCTTCTCTCCCTCTCTCCATCTCTCTTCCTCTTCCTCTTTTCTTTTTAATCTTTCTCTCTCTCTCTCTCTCTCTCTCTTTCTCTCTTTTCTTCTTCTATCCGCTTCCTATCTCTCTTTCTTTAATACTCCTTCCTTTCCTCACTACTCCTTCTGTACCGGAGTCTCTGGTACAGCTGTCCTTGGTTCTCCCGATCGTGGTTCACTCTCTTTTTTTGCCTCTGGCCAACCATCGACCAGTTCTTCAATTCCCTCTCTTTCTCCATCCTAATCTCCCTCTTCTTCGTGTTCTGTCCACGCTAGTACGAGATTCCCTGCACCGGTTCAACCTGCCAATGACGCGCCGTCGCTGCATATAAACACGAGGAAATTCATTTGGTGATTGAGTGTCCATCATGGCGAATTTGTACGTTTCTATTTCCTTTTGATTAAAGGGAGAGGGGGAAATAATAATTTAAAAAAAATAAAAAAATAAAAAAAAAAAAAATAAAAAGAAACTTGTTACTAACTTCTTGCAGTGTCAATTCAACATGGCGCTCCTTCTGGCATACCATGACCTCCTATGACCGCCATGCGTCCCATGACTCTCCCTATCGCACCGGCAGACACGTCCCTCTGAGCCAAAGCCGCGATGACCCTCTTACCTCCGTTGCAACAAGCGCCATCGATTCTCGCGCAGATTTAACAAATCCCTACGACGATGATCCCAAGGCGTCAAATCCCAATGGCTGGGCGGGTTCTCCCACCGGCGTCGGTTCCCCTACTCGCCCCTACTCCCCCGGAATGAGATCGTTCTCGTCGAATAAACGGATGTCGCAGGAGCAAGGTGCTGATGGCGCCGGGGATATCCAAATGCAAAGCTTCCAGGACGGTTCCCCGCCGCCTCCCCCGGTTGCCCACTCCTGGAAGAAGATTGAGCGCTGGTTGGAAAACAATTATGAAGAACTGTTTGATAATCTCTGTGAAGGTTGCACTCAGAACGATATCAATGAGCTGGAGCACGAACTGGATTGCACTCTGCCACTCGAATTTCGGGAGTCGTTGATGAGCCATGACGGTCAGGAGCGTCCGGGATTGCCCACCGGTGTCATCTTCAGTTGCATGTTGTTGGACTGCGAAGAGATTGTGCAGGAGTGGAAGAACTGGAGGGTCGTCAACGAGGAATTTCTCGTCAACTCACCAATGGGCGCAAGCGTGCTTCCTCCCAAAGTGACCGCAAGCTCCTCGTCCTCCGCACCACCGCCCGCTCAGCATGGTAACAATCCGTTGTGGCGCCAGGAGCTCCTCGAGCGACAGGATTCGCAACCCGCTGGTGCCGTTCAAAAGGCCTACGCTCACCCCGCCTGGATTCCCGTGGCCCGTGACTGGGGCGGCAACCACATCGCAATCGATCTGGCACCGGGTCCTTCCGGCAAATGGGGCCAGATCATCATCTTTGGCCGCGACTACGACTGCAAATACGTGATTTCCCGGTCGTGGGCTTCATTCCTCGCCACGCTGGCCGATGATTTCTGCAGCGGCAAGGTCATTGTCGAAGAAGAAACCAACGAACTCAAACTGAAGGAATTCAAATCCCAGAATGTCGAGCCTCCGTACTTGGAGATCCTCCGCTGGAGAACCGACCAAAAGTACGGCCGGAGACCTCCCCGTCGCAAGGGTCCCAACGGCCTCGGCCTGAACACCGGCAGCAAATCGGGCAAAGAGTCACCGTATGGAGGTTCGACCCCGAACGAAGAACGTGGACGATCACCTCATCGGTTCTCTGGACGTGGATCGGCCCAGAGCCCCAAGACTCAATTCGGAATGTCCAGCCCTCTCGCTCGTGTGACAGAGGAAGCCCCAAGCCCCGTTAATCCCACGGCGGAGGACGGACTACCTGAATCGTCCGGGAAGGAGAATGAAAAGGAGTCTCAGAATGAGGATCTACTGGATGTAGCCACTCCACAGGTTAGCGGCAAGGAAAACGAAAAGGCGCCTGAGAAGGAGGATGAACAGAAATCCGAACAGGCAGCGAAGCACGAATCGAAACCGTCATCTCCTGCCGCTCTGGACTCAGAAGTCTTGGGTGAGATGAAGAATGTGGCCATCTAGGTCAGGTTTCTTTGCGACAATTCACATTGACCTGTTCGTATAATAATGAATTTCCTTTCTTTTTTTCTCCCCCCTTTCTACTTCAAATTGATGGATTGTGCGTAAAGATTGTTCTGTTTCCCTGTTCCTCCTGTATAAAATTCCAGGCTTCATTCTTCGTTTATCCCGGTGGTACTGTTAGCTGTGAGCATCCTTTTTCTATTGTCTTTTTCTCGTTCTGAGGACGACTTTTCTTCTTTTTTCTCTGGATTCGTCTACATTGTCAGTGTAAATTTACTTGATGATCATGCAGTATTAGTCTTGATATCAATTTGTCTTCTGTTGTTGTTTTTTTTTTTTTTTTTTTTTTTTTTTTTTTTTTTTTTTTTTTTTTTTTTTTTTTTTTTTTTTTTCAATTCGACAAGACCAGTTTCTTCTCTACATGAAGTTAGAAATGGAAGTGCTCCAGTGTCATAGTATACAACAATGGTGGTTTGCATGCATGCTTGCACCATATCCAACAATAATCCATTATATACATCTTAGTCCCAGTCGTCATCATCATCGTCGTCGTTCCGATTTAATCGTCCTCCGCTTCGAATAGCCCGTCGAGGGCCACGTCCAGTGTCCTCATCCGAGCCAGCAGAATCATAGTCGTCATCATCATCATCATCGTCACCCTGCTTGATCTTGGCCTGCACAAGAATTCCCTTCCAAAGCAACCTCTTCTCCAGAATGGCAATACTAAATCCATCCTTTCCGTCACGTCCCCCAGACCCCAACCCCTCAAACCCAAGAACCCTCTCAACGCCAAGCCCATCCTTAAATCCAATCACACAAGGCAGCACCTTGATCTTCAACTTCTCCACGATAAACGGCGTATGCCGCACATCCACCCGCGCAAACTTCACTTCATAATGCCTCGTCGCCAACGTCCGAATATGCTCGTCCATCACCCCGCACCGCGCAAAATCCGGATGCGCAAAATGCACCACACATTTGTGCGTGTTTGTCGTAAAGCCCAGCACGGACTGGTCGCTCATTAGGGTTGGGTAGAAGGTGTCGGTTATGATTGTGCCGGCACCACCACCGGCAGCAGGGTTGGAGGCGAAAGAGGAGGGATCATGAGCAGGGCCATTTTTGGCAGAGGCGTATTCGGCGTTGAGTTGTTCGATGCGGTTTGCGCGGTAGGCAGAGTCGTCTTCGTTTTCGAGGGCTGCGAAGAGGGCTTCATCGTCGAGGTCGTCGGGGTCTGAGGTGGTGGTGGGTTCGTGTTTGGAGGTCATTTTGTTTTGGTTCTGTTTGTGAATATTTCTGTTTCTCTGTCGTCGTCTGCGTCTGTGACTGTCACTGTCACTGTCACTGTAACTGTAACTGTAACTGTGACGGGGTTTGTTTTTGTCTATTTGTTCGAGTCCGTGTCAGGAAGTTCGTTGCTGGTCGTGAGGGTGCAGTGAGGGAGATGTGAGGAGATTGATTGATTTTCGCGTCGATCAGATCAGGATAGATAAAATTAAAGAATTCGGAATTCAAGTTAATTGACGGTATAACAAGTGTGAAAGAGATGTTGCTAGGTTGAAATAGTCGTATACTGGGTGAAGATCACCACTGAAAAGATTCTCGAACAACTCACTCCCGGAGTAGAACGAATTGGAGTAAAGAGATTATCCTGATTATCCTTTCTCCTCTGGAAATAGAAGCAATTGTAGCAATATTCTCTATTCCTCACTCTTTTGTATAGATTCAAATCTCTCGAATCTCTTGTCAGGGTGAATCCCGCTAAGTAAGCACGGCCAATCAATATCCCAAATCCCCCAAGTCCGTTTCTTTTTTCTTACTTTTCCTCTTCTTTCACTCCTTCTCTCTCTCTCACGCACCTTTCTATTCTTCTCCTTGTCCTCCTTCTCTTCTTCTTCCCTCGTCTTACCTAACAGGGAGAGACTGTCGCTCGTTTCGTCGACTCTCTCGCTGCCCCTCGTCGCGTTCATCCCTTTCCCTCGCCCGGGATTGTTTGACGGCCTGCGTTGTCAAGTGTCAACTTGTCTAGGTCGCCTTTATTTTATTTTATTTATTTATTTATTTTGACCGACGACCGGCTTCTTAAGGTTACCAACAACCGGATTGTTTACACCTTTTCCCGTTCTGAAAAGCCCCGTTCTCCTCCGCACATCGTCACAATGGCCGAAGACAAGAAGTCCGATAACTATACGATCGAGATGGACAAGTTGGATCAGGGAAACAGTCGCACCTTCGAGGCACCTCCCCCGCCTCAGCCGCGAGCTGCTCCTCCAGCGAACAACCCGATCCTGCCGGTGCTGGCTTACTGCGGATCTTCGATTTTGATGACTGTCATGAATAAATATGTCTTGTCCGGTACCAACTTCAACCTCAATTTCTTCTTGCTTTGTGTGCAGGTATGTGTGGAAGGCATAATGGAGTGGTACGCTCTTTTTACCGGACGTGTACGACTAACTGGCCATCTAGTCCGTTGTGTGTATTTCCGCGATTCAGGGGTGTAAGACCGCTGGTCTTATTAACTACCGTGATTTCAACAGTGACGAGGCGAGGAAGTGTATGTATTCTTCATTGAAACGTGGGCGCAAGTGCAGTGTCTGACAGGTGTCATATTATAGGGTTCCCGATTACTCTGCTTCTGATCGGTATGATCTACACCGGTACCAAGGCGCTTCAGTTCCTCTCGATTCCCGTCTACACCATCTTCAAGAACTTGACTATCATCCTTATCGCGTACGGAGAGGTGCTGTGGTTCGGTGGCTCCGTTACTGGCTTGACGCTTTTCTCTTTTGGCCTGATGGTGTTCAGTTCGGTTATCGCCGCGTGGGCCGATATCAGATATGCGCTTGAGAGCAGTGGAGACGCTACTGGCAAGATCTCTACTTTGAACGCTGGATACATCTGGATGTTGATCAACTGTCTTTGCACGTCTTCCTACGTCCTTGGAATGCGCAAGCGCATCAAGTTGACCAACTTCAAGGACTTTGACAGTATGCTCCCCGGTTTCTTCTTGATCCTTTTCACACGTATCTAACTTGTCTGCAGCTATGTTCTACAACAACTTCCTGTCGATCCCCGTCCTGGTCGTTCTCTCCGTCTTCACTGAAGACTGGTCGTCCGCCAACATTGAGCGCAACTTCCCCCCTGCCGAGCGCAACAACATCATCTTCGCCATGATCCTCTCTGGTGCCTCGACTGTATTCATCTCCTACACCTCCGCCTGGTGTGTCCGTGTGACCTCGTCCACCACCTACTCAATGGTGGGAGCGCTGAACAAGCTCCCCATTGCGATTTCCGGATTGGTCTTCTTCGACGCCCCCGTGACATTCCCCAGTGTGTCGGCTATCTTTGTAGGCTTCGTCAGTGGTATCGTCTATGCCGTTGCCAAGATCAAGCAAAACGCTAAGCCCAAGACTGGTGCTCTGCCGACTTCGAATCCGGTCAGTGCTAGCAGCCAGAGCATGAGAGATTCGTTGCGGTCATAGATCTGTGTCCTGGCGAGCATCCTGTCATGATGACATGTTTGTCTTGCTCGTTGTGGCTTCTCGCAATCGACTGAATTGATGTGCTGGGTTTGATTCTGATGACTCGCGTTGGTGGCTTCTCTTATACAGCGCATATTATTATTACTTCATTCTGGCAGCGCAGAGGCGCTCCGTCGTTGCAAGTGTGATTCTTTTCTAGTAATATTGTTATTTTCTTAGTCTTTTCTTTTTATTTCGATACGATTCGGGCGTGTCTGTTATTTGCTGGCTTTGAAGCGATGTTTGAAAATAGACTCGTCGATGTTGGATGAAAAAAATAGTTTCATTTCTTTGGTTTGTCTGTTTTCTGTATATATAATTTATTTTTCATCCTCTACTTTTAATGGATTATAGAATATGTTGCTACCTTCATTCATTTCAATGATGTATCCGTAGATCTAAAATATATATCTCGGAACTTATATTTGACCGGAAAATCTTTCGGTAGGTTTTGATAAGATCTCAAATATCAATTTTCAATTCTCAATAACACATATTTCAATTGGCACAACAATAACCCTTTCATACTTGAAAAATGCCCAAGGCAAAAAAAGCACGAATTGCAGCCGCGCAAGGTGGTGGTGATGCTAAAAGAAAAGCCAACGACAGCAATAAAAAGAAGATGAACACATTTCTCCGACTATCGACGACCAAGAACAACAATAATGATACCAAGAAAAACAAGACCAATAACGGCAAACAAAAAAAAAACCAGAGACCAATTGTCCCGTTTGGGAGGAATGATCGGATTTTGTTAATTGGCGAGGGTGAGTTTTCTTCCATCATGCCTTTATATGGCTATATAAAATGTTAGATATATATGTACTGATGAATCGACAGGCGACTTCTCCTTTGCTCGTTCATTGGTCGTCCAGCACCGGTGTCGGAATGTACTTGCGACATGCTATGATTCCAAAGATGACCTGTGCGGGAAGTATCCCCAGGTAGAAGGGACTATCCAAGAAATCCAAAATGTATTCCTGAAGAAGGATAAGAAGCGCAAGACAGACGGGGACGAGACAGGTGACCACGATGGTCAACCAGGGCCATCGGGTGAGAATGATGAAAATGACGAGGAAGACGACAAGCAAAAAGACACAGAAAAAGCACAGGCCAAAAACAAAAACAAGACAAACCCCAAAGTCCTCTTCTCAGTCGACGTCCGAAAACTCGCCCACCCCTCTGCTGGAGGAGGAAAAGATGTCCGGATAGGTTTCCCACGACCACATCAACACAAACGCCCTGCGTGGCTGGAGGCTCGTCATGCTGCCAATAACGCTAATAAAAAGAATAACTCTGGCGGGCAAGGGAAAGGTGAAGGGGGTCCGTGGGATATCATCTGTTTCAACTTCCCACATGTGGGTGGGTTGTCGACGGATGTGAACCGGCAGGTGCGGTTTAATCAGGAATTGCTTGTTGCGTTTTTCAAGGCTTGTGTGCCACTTCTGTCGCGGCCGGTTGATGGCCATGGTGTGGTTGATGATGAGTTTGAAGATGAGGATGATTGGGGGGAGTCGAGTGATGACTCTGATGAGGACGGTGATGGAAGAGAAAAGAGCAAAGCCCGGGCAGAACCAGGACAAATATTGGTTACTCTATTCGAAGGAGAGCCGTATACTCTATGGAACATCAAAGATCTTGCTCGACATGCCGGGCTAAAGGTGGTCACCAGCTTCAGATTCCCCTGGGCTTCCTACCAGGGTTACTCGCATGCGCGGACTCTAGGACACATTGAAGGGAAACATGGTGGACGAGGTGGATGGAAAGGCGAGGATAGAGATGCCAGGATGTATGTCTTTGAGCTTGGAGATGACCACGCAACGGCTCAGTTCAAGGCAGATGCCAGTGCAAAGAAGAAGAGGTCAAGGAACGAATCGGACAGCGATGATAGTGATTAGAACATGTCCTAATAGTAAAATTCCCATTTGATGCAGTAATTACTTATCCTTCATCCTGGACTATGGGATGCCATGTTACATGATGTACACTCTCTTCATGTCGCCCTCCTCGAAAACTTCGCCGGTAGTTGGGTCTTTGATGGTCCCTGCTTCGACACAACCAACCTTCTTGTTCATATCCAACAGTCGTTCTTGCCCGTACACCCTACCGTTCGGCAAAACGATTGGATCGCTTTCGATGTAACTCTTCGTGTGATGTGCATAGGGCATGTTCCGTGCCAGCTCATTCAACTCGGTTGAACAGATCGGACAAACAGAAGTTGTGGTAGAGAGTGAATTAGACCTCGATGAAGTATACTCCGAATGGCAGGAGGGCGTCTTCAGCGCTGACAAACCAGCAGATAACGCAATATGTAATAGAGGGCGTGACGGTAGCGACAGAAGTTCATGGTGAGTACGAACAAAGAGTTCCACGAGATGAGTCCATCGAATTGAAGAGTACATTGCCTGCAACGTGATTAGCCCGGTGACTTCCTTACTATAAGGGGCCCGATGCATACCCTGTAAGGCTCGGCCTTAGTATCGCGAGGGAATGCAAGAAGTCCTGCAGCATGGCTGATTTCGGTCGACTGAGTCTCCATATACGGCGTAAGATATTTCTTTGCATGCAACATTGCCTCGAGCAGCTTTTTCTTATCCCCAGTTCGTATCATTTCGATGTACTGCTGCAATCGCAGTTCAAATTCCAAGTTATACTGCAAAGCGTCAGTCATCCCGGACCCGGCTCGAGTTGGAAGGCAGATCGAACCCAGAATAACATACCTGACTCTTCTTTAGACCTGCTTTATTCTCCCCGCACCATTGTAATGCCTCCTTGGTCTCTCCGCGACGTAGACTATCCGCGATCCGCTGGCACTGCACGAAAACATTGATGTCCACGAGATCCTCAATACCCTTCTCCTGCGCCAATTGCTTCGCACTCCCCGAATACCCAGACCGGAGCATATGATCCACCATCAACCGGTCCAACCTAGTCCTAGACCACTCATCATATTTAACATCCACCAGACTGGGGATCTGATGCAGACTCTCCAAATGCTGTATGCGCTTCTTCGACTGATCCTGGACCTTCTTCTCTTCTCCCTGTAGATTTTCCATCTTCCGCTTCAGCCCTTGCATGCGGGATATCATCGCATCGAGCGCGGCAAGTGTCTGGTCCGGTGTGTGAGACCCCGATAACGAGTTATTGGCGGCGTCTTTGAGTGCTGGGAGGACATTTTCCTTTTCGCGCTCGACGACCCGTTGGACGGACTTGAAATTTCGGCGGGCGAGTTCGTGGGGTAAGCGGAGGAGCGGTTGGTCCTATTTGAGTATAAAATGTTAGCTGGTGAGGCACGGATTGCTGGATGATGCAGGCAATACCAAGAGAAGGTGGTTCTCCGCATTGAGTTTCGTTGACGTGAGCTCCGCGGCCATGGCGGACTGTCCTTTGCGGTGGTTTCTGTAATTCTTGTTCCTTTCCTTCTTAAATTATGACTTGCCTCTGGGTTCTGATATAAATCAATAAACAGGAAACTGGAGTGAAGCTGAATGGCGTGGAGTTGGTTGCTTGCTACCTGAGGTGGCACGGAATCCGCGCGGAGATCAAGTGACCCCGTGACGCCACAGGACTAAGCTTACGGTGATTCATTCCTGGTTGAAGATGAAATTCAAAGCAAATGACAATAAACAAGAGTAATTTTGACCCAGAACTACATAATCCTAGAAAGTAGCAACAGACTTGAGATACAGTAAAATCAGACAGAACCCCTTTTCAACCCAAGACTCCAATGAACGACGGAAAAGACAAGAAACAATATGTTACAGGAAATATGCCCAGATGAAGCCGCAACAGGAGAATGCATGGGACAACAGCATTCTGAAAGAGCGACACTACCATTAGAGCCGGGCAACGGACTTCCCTGAAGACGTTTAGTCGCTGTCACTATCCTCCTGCTGCTTGGACTTTCTCCGCTCTTTTTTCTCCTTCTTCTCCTTCTTCTTGCGCTTGCGCTCCGCTCGCTCCTCTGGAGTTTCTCCATCGTGTCTCTTGCGCTTCTTCTCATCGTCCTTGTCGTCGTCGACTTCCATCTTGTTCGGGGAAGATGGCTCTTCCGCCGGTTCGTCCTTCGGCGCAGGTTCAGCGGCGGGCTGGGCGGAAGCTTGAGGCTGGGCAGAGGAATCATCCTCAGCCACGTTGTAATCCTTGTAGTCGCTCTTCCACTGGGCGGGAGTAGCCTCGTTGGTTCGGCCATATTTCTGTAAGGTAATCAGTATCGCAGAACGCCATTTATATCCTTAAAGACTGCGTCGCGCAACTTACGTCCAACTTGCCAGAAGACTTGAGTTTCTTCTTCTCCAAGGCCACAGGACCCAGACCCCATCTGCGGGGGTAGAGGTCACGCTCCATGATACAGCGCTTGACCTTGGCAACAACACCGTGGTCGCAGGTGGACAGCTCGACGGTCGACATCTGGGAAATACCAATGGCAATAGCCTCACCCTTGGTGGTCATAAGGACAACCTCCTCGTGGGCATCAATGCCAGCCTCTAAAGAAGTGGTCAGTAACTGAGAAAAGAGGAATGCATGTGACCACAAGCTTACCGAAACGGAGGAGACCAGGAATCATGAGCTTTGCACCGTAGCAGACGGCGTTAACAGCGCTGTCCTTGACGACAATACGCTTGTAGGTCGTGAGAAGACTCTCAAGGGGACTGATGACCCTGCGCAGATACGATTCGTCGCGCTGGTTGTCATACAGCCACTGCGCATCCATAACATCGTGCAAAGTGACCATGCCCTTGTTCTCGTCCATAGCTCCACTGCGCACACGACGGAGCTCCTGCATGTGCGCACCGACGCCGAGAAGAAGACCGAGATGGACACACAAGGTACGAATGTAAGTTCCTGCCTCGCAGCTGACCCAGAAAACACCAAGGTGTCTATCATTGTCGAACTCGAAAAGCTTGCTCTCGTGGATGGTTCTGATACGAAGCTGGCGCTTGACAGCCGAGATAAGAGGCGGCCGCTGGAAGAGAGCACCGGTCAAGGTCTCCAAAGCACGTCTGAACTGGGCCTCGCCACCGGGGATCTTGTCGTGGAGACGGATAACGCAAACATATTCCTTTCCGGCGCCTTGTTGCGACTTGACCAAACGAGTCGCACGGTCGACACAAACGATCAAGCATCCGGTGACCTTCGGGTCGAGGGTACCACTGTGGCCGGTCTTGTCGGCCCTAAAAAAAAAAAAAAGCACGCCTTTTCAGCATATTGTCCTGAAATTAAAATTTCATAGGAGTGTTACCTCAAGATCCTCTTCATCCACGCGACAACCTCATGACTGGATGGGTTGGAAGGCTTGTCCAGGTTAATCACACCGGAATTGACGTAGGACTTCAAGTCACGCTTGAGAGGCGAGCAACCGGCGGGAATCGGGGTAAAGTGACCGGTTCTGACAAGAACTATTGGGAGAAAAAGTTTTCTAATCAGCTACACTGCACCTTGAAACGCTCAAAAAAGGACAAGAGGTAGAAGAAAGAACAGGAGAATATCATTGACATACGCTTATCGTAGTTCTTGAGCAGAAGAGGCCAGTCTGCTGTGTTAATGTTGCTGGAGCCGGCCTCCGGCTTGATGGTGTAGTCCACCTCTTCCTTAGCCACTGTGTTTGCCATTTTGGCCAAAAGAAGACACAATTTGGCTGGCTAGAGAAATGTAAGGTAGCCAGGTGGTTGCGCGCGTTGAAGAAAGGACCGCTGGGTGGAAGAAAAAAAACTGCACCTGCTGGACCGACGCTAGCGAGAGAAAAGAAGGTTGGCAAATTTTCCATCCAGTCGAAGTGCGGCGAGTGCTCCAGTATCCCGAAACGGTTTAGCGCGTGGATCCACTTCTGTTAGCATCACGTGACTTAATACCACCGAAAAGGCCATCCACATGGAATTTCGAATTATTACTATGGAGTACGGAGTACAGTATGTATTACTAGTTCAGAGTTCAATGGGAGCGCTTCAATCTAACTGCTGCAGTACTCCGTATTTAGGGCTTCAAACCCAGCGACTGATAATGACCACACCATCACAATTCGGTCTTGCTCATGAATGCCTACAGTTCTTTAACCACCGCCCAATCTCCTTCCTGTTCCCCTTCCACTCCACGAGTTTTGAGTGGAGGAGGTCCAACCTCTCGGTTCTTCGGACGCCGGGGATGCCGATGCCGGGGTTTGTCCTGTTGATCGGTAGGCTGTTCCATAGGATCGATACGTTTCACGCGATGTTTTGATGAAAAGCCTTCTGATGAAGCCTGGGGTCGTAATGTAGTTTTTGCCGCCGCCAAATGCCGGGTAGATACGCGTAAGGAATTCGTACATGTGGGCAGCGACGATTCCCATACTTTCTAGTAGCGCAGCACGCCAACCAAAACGGACCATCGTAATCACAAGCATGGCCCAAGGGAGAAACTCCACACGTATCTGAAAGAAATAGAATCTGGTCTTTATTCCCTTGTTATGATGGGCATAGGTGTAAACAAACGCCAGGATCAATGCTATTATGCATTATTAGCATTGGAGACAGCATCTCATATTTCGGGTGCTGCAGCGAGAGCTCACCGGAGGTAAAGATTCCACCTTCCAAGTAGCAGCCTGCGGTGAGCTTCGGCTTGTCAGCATGGGAATCAATTTATAGCTACTTCAATAACGAGTCCGGGAAATGAATGAGAGTCCATGCTATTGAGAGGATATAAGAAGCATATATAAGGATTGTAATGAAGAAATGTAGGGCACCATAACCACCAACGTGAACTTATTTTATCACGCTGGCTATCTCAAAGGTATTCCCACCATTCCTACACCGCATACAGCCCGAAAAGTTTGCGAATGAATGGGTGTACGAGATGCAGGGGTGATCTTCCTCGGTTCCAGGAACCGCTTCAGCTAGTTTTCGGCTGGGCGGGCAGATAATCCGAGGTTTGAAAAAGGAAAAAAGACGATGTCTCGTCCGATATGCAAAAGAGAAGTATTGGCCAAGTCCTATGCAATTACGCATTTGGATCGGATGAGCTCTGTGACTTACCAAAATGACAGTAGCTACGAAGAACACATAGGTGAAGAAATCACCAGGGCCGTTGAGCCGCGGCGAGTTTGTCTCCAAGGCGCTGCCATAGGTAAACACTACCATTAGGTTAGCATGGCAGTAAGCCTGGGCCATCACGAAGCCGTACTGAAGTAAAGATCAAATATAAAGTCGAGTTGGGGGCCCGTCAGTAGAAACGATGACCCTAGTCGCCATACTTCCGGCGGGAACTTGAAGACAAGTCTTGTCAAAAACGGAACATAATAAGCACTGTGTAGGCCACCATAGACTAAAAGGGACTGGACAAAAGTAAGTGCAGTCAAGGTCCTATTGTTAGAAAATTAGCAAAGATCGACCATCGGACGGTGATAGACACAAAAAAAAAAAGTTCGTACCTAGTGACAGGAGGAGCAGACCAGAACTGGTCCATTGTTAATGAATAGTAAGTGGTTTGGTTGAATCAAATTGGGGATTTGAGGACTCTGCAGCTGTACATCACACTGTAAGTCCTCGGTCCAGTCGGATAATTTTTAGTGAGGAGAGAGAAAGAGAAGAGAAAATGAAAGTTTTCAAGCGAAATAAAAACGTGTGCTCGCTAGCTTCTCTTCGCTTAAAGTTTTTCCGCTTCCGCCCCATTGGCAGTACGATTCCGCCTTACCCAAAGTAGTAATACGTTCGACAGTCGTGGATGTACTGTTCAAACAAGGACTACATATCATCTAACTCACGGATTGACTTCAAAAACCGCATTCCGTTCCCATAAGCCTTCAATATCCTTATTTATACAGCTTCTGTTTGCACGGAGCCTCGCACGGCAAGGCCTCCTTCAGGACCTTCAATCCACACATCCCATGCATCAATCCTTCTGCCAGTCTTCGGCTTACCGCAGACTATCAGCTCCTCATCAACATAAAGTGGAGCCAAGTTTCTATATTCAATGCCCTTAATGAAATGCCGGGGTTGTAGATGCCCTTGCATGGCTGTAAGCAGCAACATCAGAGTCAATGGACCATGTACAAGAAGCTTCCGGTAACCTTCCATGTGTTGGGTATAAATTTCGTCGAGATGAATCAGATGGGCATTGAATGTGAGAGCCGAAAACCGAAAGAGCAAGGACTTGTTTGGTCTTATTCTATAGCGGAACTGGGCATCCGAGGGAGCTTTAAATGGGAGAAGAGTGTCAGTATCATCCTATTTACTATAAGAATGAATCGAAGAAATGCGCACGTTTAATGATCCTGCTAATTTCCCCAAAGTATTTTTTGTCATTTTCGAGCTGTTCCTGAGTCTTCTCACGCATAAAGATCAAATTCCGAGTCTCAATGACCGACGCCTGTCCGTTTTCTTCCTCGTTCTCTGTCCATATTCTCTCCTTTATATCGTGCTCCTCCTCCTCATCCCGTTCTTTCACGACGCCCACCCGTCTTTCGATGCTGACCACAATCTTCTCCTCTCCCTTTAGGCCCTTGACCGTCACGTCGCGAATCGTTTCCAGACATACAGCCCTACAGCCATCTAGAAGCGGGCCGCTCAGCGTTGGAAACCTTACTTTTCCGCCTGCCCATAGACGCCTGTTGAATGGGTCTCCGGGGCTATGTAAGATATCAGTGCCGTCAGGTAGTAACTGGGACAGTGTAACTTGAGGAGGAAAATAGACCAAGTGGTGGCCTGGTGCCATATGAAGCGGGGTCTCAATTGAGGGAAGAGTCCTGCTCTTCAGCACAAACGGCTGTTGGTTTGGGAAGAGATCAGTTAATGTCGCATTCAGTAAGTGAGACGGTTGAGGATGTAGGTAGTCATAGAATAAAGGAAGCTTCCGTGTTGTCAATTCCCGATTTAAACGTTCAGAGAGTGAGGAGCATGAGCGCGATAAGGCAGCTGAAACCCCTTGTCTCAAGTGCAGGTATTGCAATGGCTTCCTTTTCATTGGCGAGGAATTGACCTAGCCAAGCCGCGCATCAAATAAAATGAGTTGAAGATAACAAAAGTCCGAGGAGGACTCTATCCTGTTCCGCCGATGTTGCGGAGTCTCGGTTCTCCGTAGTTTGACTTGTTTGTCCGAAGTCGGGGAGCTGAATAGGATTTCGCTATGTTCTCTTGCAGTGAAATCACAAAATAAACAGAGCAATAAGAAGTCGGTACTAGGAAAGGCTTTCCCTGGACGATCCGAATTTAGCTGTGCGAGCATCGAACCCCGATGGAGCTCTCCAAGGTCTCATTTCTGGGCCCGAAAGCGTCCTTCTCCCACCAGGTACACACGAATCACCCCCATCCCCATTGGCCTATGAAGAACGCACGAGCACTAATCACTATGGGCTATTGTCACAGGCAGCTGTAGAGGCGTTTGGAGATCCGGTGCAATTAACCCCGTGTTTGACGTTTGCAGACGCCTTCGCGGCAGTCCAACAAGGACAGTCGGACTATGCAATAATCCCTGTCGAAAACTCGAGCAACGGATCCGTCGTGCAGACCCTCGATCTTCTAGCAGATCGGAATGAAATTTACGGCGATGTCGAAGTATGTGCGGAACATTACCTGACAGTCCATCACTGCTTCATGGTTCGAAAGGACACATTACCAGCATACAGCTCGATAACCAAGCTATACACACATCCGCAGGCCTGGGGGCAATGCGAAACTTTCCTCAGCAAAAACTTCAAGGGGGTGGAGCGACAAGATGTCTCTTCAACCTCAAAGGCCGCTGAAATTGTTTCGAAGGAGACCACAGAATGCAGTGGCGCCATCGCCAGCCGCTTTGCGGCGGAATACCATGGCGTGGATATTCTGGCAGAGAACATCGAGGATAAAGCCGATAACACAACACGATTCTTGATATTGAGGAATGTGCATTCGGAGCGCTTAGCCCGATTGACTTTTGAGGACGCAATTCCATCCAAGCCTTCATCGACTGCTTTGAAGACTCTGATTTTGTTCACAGTCGACCATGATTCACCCGGGGCGCTGGCAGACGCCTTGTCAGTTTTCAAAGATCATGGACTGAACTTAACGAGCATAAACACGCGTCCGAGCCAAAAGCGAGCTTGGCAATATGTGTTTTTCGTGGAGTGTGCTAGAGTCCCTACGCCGCAGAACCAAGAAGCTGTCACTCGAATTCTACAAAGCTTGCCGCAGGTGACCGAGAGTTGCAAATACCTGGGAACTTGGAAAGATAGACTCTGATCCATTTGTTCACATATAACTGATATGTATATATACGTACAAGAGCTGCTATTTTTGGATATGAGTTCGAAAGCAGCAAATACTGCTGAACAACAAGATACCACTTTGCGATCAACAAGTCTCTAAACTGTAACAAATGTTTACAGAGTGCTACAGGAATTGCAGGCAAAACTACTTCAAGCGAAATATAGAGGTTGCAGTGGCATTGACCTATACTGTGTAGAAAGTACGATCATATACTGAACCCAGACTGCGACAAAAGAGTGTATAGAAAAAGATTGAACGGCAGAAGCAATTCCAGGACAAATAACAATCTCAACTCGTTTAGCTCAGTTTCATAAGCTCGACAATTTTCTGGCAAGGACTGTGGATTATATGCAACGAATCGAAAAATCCATCGCATAAACACATCGTGTTAACCTTAGGTTTCCACAGTAACTGTGCTACGGAGCTTGGATGGCCCTATCATTATGATGTGTTAGTTCACTATATGGACTATAATCAGCAAATAAGAAGACACACCTCTGAGCAGCTTCGCAGAGCTTGAACCAGGCCTCGTCACGGTATCTACCTTGGAAGCCATGGGATCTCCATGAGAGCCGCCTTCATAATTCACGGGGCGAGCCGTCAAAAGATCCATTTCTGGAACTTCTGGCCTTTCATCCTCGCTCACTGCGAGGTCGCTAAACCGTCAATCTAACACCGAGTATACAGATTAGCAAAAATATAGACCTTAGCAATTCCCATGATTGAAGACATACCGTCATAGAACTCATCCTCGTCGTCATAGTCGGCAAGTTGTTCAAAGTTGACCTTGTATCGCAAAAGTCCACCGATACCACCGAATCCCTTGACGAACTGGTTGCCTTCACTGGACCGGTCAGAAACGAATTCCAGAGTAGCACCAAAGTCTTTGTAGGCCTCGGCAAGCCACTCAAGGAACGGGCCTGAATCGGCGACCTCCATCTCTTGGCCGGTTTCCTTGTCCAAAAACAGTTCCCGTTGGTTTTCCTCTTGATACTTGTTGGTGTGAACGGTGACCTCAGAGCCGCTCGCGTCCTTCAAAACCCATCGGGTCAAATCCAGGTTCTCATAAACGATAAGGACTTCCACAGCACCAAGCTCCAGGGCTTTGAGAGTATCATCGATACCATAGCAAATCTTTCCGGTATCTTGACTGATTTCTTCGAAATATTTGCCGATGAGTTTCTTTTCTTGAACGAACTTGACGTTGCTCAGAGTCTCAGAAGAAAGTTCGATAGCCTGGTTGAAGCCGTTTTCACCTCCGTAAGAGACGTCGACAATCTTGATAACCTTGGACTGCAAACGCCCATCGAACAGATCGGACTGGTTCAAGTCATTCTTGAAATCGGCAGAACCGGCCAAAATCAAGCCTGCCACGTTGATCTTATTGTCGGTGATGAAGTTCTGAACAGCCAATTCGGCAATCTTCCGCACGTAGTTGTGACGCTTTTCCTCACGGAGACGAGCAAAACGAAGCGCAGACTGACCACCACGACCGTGCTTCTTGGGCAGGTCGACGCTCAACTTCTGGAGAACTTCTCTGGTGTTTCCACTGAGGGTACCGAAAAGAGAACCGTTTCCGTCCATGACGATGAAACCGAATTTCTGGTCCGACTCGAGTAGCTCACTCAGAGCTTCAGTGTGGAATTTGTTGTCACAAAGATAGAGCGAAGTGTTGATGGGCTTGAACGGTTCAAAGTCAATGTTAATCTTACGTTCCTTTCCTTCGGATGTGATAATTTCACCACAGTAGACGACCAAGCCATTCGGAGGGACCTTGTTGTAAAGCTTGAGACGCTGCTGCGTGGACGTAATGGCCGAAAGCACGGAAAGACGGTTCACACGGGATTTGATGTTGGAAGCAGTACCCTACCGTTTCACTGTTAGCCATTCTGCTCTTACTAAAAGCAACACAAGTAAGAAACGTACAAACTCTTCAGCCAACATCTTCGCCGCCCGGGACACTTGGTCCTTAGGGGCTATAAAAAAGTCGTTAGCAACGAGACATGCCACTCTCGAGGGTTATGGAAAGCATACGGATAATCAGCGAAATCATCGAGGTTCCATTTCCTCTGGCGGCTTCAAGACGCTTGATGAGCTTCTTGACCTTCCAGATTTCAATATTCTTCTCCGCGTCGTTCGGAGCCTGAGCCGAGCTCATGTTGGGCGAGGCGACCAAGGATATACACGACCGGGTTGAAACCTGACTGGGGGTACTGGACGAAAATTGTTAGATATAGAACATAGACAAGCAGGCAGAAAAATGACGCGCAAAAGAAGTGAGTCAAGCGGTATACACGTACCCTGGAACTGGTCGGTTTTGTCGTCAGACGTTCCAGCGGGGTGTTTAGAGCAAATTTCACCGTGGGGTGGCAGTGATGCTAAAAAAGAAAGATTGGAGGTCGCCTCCTGTGATGACATAAGCATGTATATTTGCGTATCATACAATACCTGTAATTAGGCACTGATTACCAACCTACATACTCTAGTTACTTCTCTAGTATTCGTATTAGTAGAAAAAGGGTTTGAAAAAGTAGTAATGATTCATTTTCTGAGTCATTTACCCTTGTATTGTCATTTGCATTGAGGGCCTAACTACCATGTCATATGTCCATGTATTACATGCCGATGTGGGAGTTATGTATACAGAATATCTGGGTACAAAGAAGTACTTGCAGTCTAAGCAATAGCGACCAACTAATACATAGATCAATTTATAGGCTCTGGACACTGAGGACTCTATATGAATCACGTACAATTGTAGTTTAGAACATTGTGTGGTGACCCAATGAATGTTACCGTTCCTGAAGAAAAAAAGCTTATCAGTACTGATTGGGAACCTCTATCACTTACTTCTTCCTTTCGACATCGTAGCAGTCCATCATCCTCTTTCTCCTTATTTCTTTTTTTCTTTTCTTTCTTTCTTTCTTTCTTTCTTTTTTTTTTTTCTTTGCGCGTCTATTCTACCGACGTACTGTGCTGTCTCATATTGGTAGTCGGCATCGTGATACCGAATACCGGTTCTGGATACTATGCAGGACCCTTTGACTACAATTGATACTGAACAGCAAGCCACAGAGCCATTAGAGTCGAACTCATTGCTTGAATCGGATAGTTATAGTCGCTCCCAGTCATCATTGTCTGAGAATGATGGTCCCCAAAGGTAATGCTTCCAGACTGGCAGTTGAAAGAAGATCCAACGCTAACTAGGCCCAGTTCATTCTCTGCTCGTTTCAGGCAGGCAGGTGGTGTAAATAGCATCGATAATTTTGCAAGATCATGGCAAAGAGCAGCATATTTTCCTGACGTCCTTCCATGGCAGCACTCGTCCACGACAACCGGGTCAGATGATGAATGGGCTACTATACAAAGTGAAGAGGCTGAATCACAAGGCTCACAACGGTTTAGTCAATATGCTCCTACGCGCCCGCTGCTTGATTCTGATGTGGAAGAGGAAGATGACGACTTGGCTCGTCCTAGCTTGGGGAGGGGAATTCCAGGCACTGGAATTACCGGAACTTCTATGGATAGAAGCTTTGGAACTTCATACGGGACCATCTCTTCGAGAATCAGTGATGCGACTCGGAGACATGCAATTCAGTTTCACAGAGAGCAACAAGCACAGGCAGCTACTCCTGGTGATAATGAGCGAGACCAGCTATTAGTCAAGCAAGTACAACGTGAAAACGGGACCAGGGAGAATTTCATCATCGGCCAATCGACTGTACCGCAAACAATTTTCAATTCAGTGAATGTCTTGATAGGTGTCGGTTTATTGAGTCTGCCTCTGGCGATGAAGCAGGCTGGGTGGCTCCTGGGACTATTGTTCCTCACCTTTGCTGCAGTGACTACATCATATACTGCTAAAATCCTCGCTAAATGTCTAGATGTGGACCGAACTCTCGTCACGTACGCTGATTTGGCATATATTAGTTTCGGACATCGTGCACGGTTGGTGATTAGTCTTTTGTTCTGCTTGGAACTCATAGGGGCTTGTGTTGCCTTGATAGTGCTTTTTGCAGACAGTCTTCATGTCCTACTACCGGAGCTTAGCATTCTTCAATGGAAGATCATATGCGGATTCATGCTTCTTCCGCTCAATTTTGTACCTTTGCGGTTCCTAAGCGTGACGAGTATACTGGGAATACTGTCTTGCACGTCAAGTATGTTTCAACTTCCTTAGTTGGAGTTTGTGATGGGCTAACATCTAATAAGTCGTGATCATGATCTTTATCGATGGTTTGATCAAACCGGATGCTCCCGGCTCCCTTCATCAACCTGCCAGAACGACCTTGTTTCCTGATAATTGGGCTACTGTTCCTCTAAGCTTTGGTTTGATCATGTGTAAGTTACTCCCCTCCCTTCCCCATGTCTATTATCCGTTCACTTCTAGGGAGCTCCTGAGTTTGCTGACGACTATCAAGCGCCCTGGGGTGGGCATGGAGTCTTCCCTAATATATACAGGGATATGAGACACCCCCGGAAGTATGGCAAAAGTCTTTGGGTAACCTACATATTTACGGTAAGATGAGAAATCAAGAGTTTAAGTTGTTTGGTTGTATTAACTCCATTAGTACTCTCTTGATTGCGCAATGGCAGTTGTGGGCTGGATGATGTTTGGGGGTGCAATCTTGGATGAGGTCACGGCCAATGTACTCATGACAGATCAATATCCACGAGTCCTCTCCCTTTGCATCATATTATTCATTGCAATCATCCCAATCACCAAAGTGCCCTTGAAGTAAGTCACCCTTCTGGCTAGGTTCATTGCAAAAGATGACTAATAACGTATAGCTGCCGGCCTCTGGTTGCAACCGTCGAAGTGCTGTGCGGGCTCGGGCTACGCCCCGATATGAATTCAGATGACCAGAAGGGGCTGCGAGGAATTGTCCGTCGGTCTTCGACGAGTATAATCCGTATCCTCGTTGTGGTTGTTATTGTGCTCATGGCGACCGTCTTTCCATCCTTTGATCGAATCATGGCACTTATGGGGTCCGCTTTGTGCTTCACGATATGCATCATATTACCCCTCGCATTCTACCTGAAGATCTTTGGGAAAGAAATAAGTCCCAGTGAACGCACTTTGGACTGGATCCTTCTCGTCATATCCTCGGTTGTAGCCACCGTCGGCACTGTTTGGGCATTTTTACCGCAAGAGCTAATTACTGCGAAATAAATCATCGTCGTCAGCGGTCGTTATTATTTTGTGCTTGGCTTGTGATCGTCATGGACGATAATGGCAAAATTGTTCCTTGTTTTGCCATCGTTCAGAATCTCTTTCTTGAATGGCTTCGGCTTGTAATCCTGGCGATGTTCCCAGAGCTGAAATATCAACTTAGAAGTTTGCTTGCTCTGTGTCATAACAAATCCCATGCTAGACAGTATCTCCTGCAACCTGTTCTCGGTGAGATAACGCGAGTTTTTGACGCATGGAAGAGGCAAGACCAAGAATAAGCTAGGTGCAAAGGAGACAGGACAGCCTGATGCTAGTTTATTCGTGAGGAAGGTCACGCAACGCTTCAGCATTTCTCCTCTTCCTTCGGCATATGGGACGTAATTAAGTACCAAGGACAAGCTGATGAGGTGAAAACGATCGTCGTCGCTGTGAGGAAGCGGTCTCTCCATAAAGTCTTGCTTCAAGATCCCTGGTTCCTGGGAATTAAGATCTATCCTCGTGACATCGAGCGATTTCTTCATGGAACACGCATTTTTAGTACTGAGAGCTCCGATCTCGAGCACTCGAAGTCGGAAAGGTGTGTCTTTCAATAATGACAGTTGTGGGTCTATCCAATCAACCAAGACCTTGCTCGAATCTCCCCCGCGGGCTGATGATTGCCCCAGCTTGCTGGCGATTTGGTAACTTTCCAAACCACCATTTTCTCGAATTTGCGCATCAAGTTTGTCGACTAAAGCATGATCGCCCGACTGTAAAGCTTGAGCCCGGGATTTGAGAAGACGATGATGGGAACGAATGAGATTCCGAGTAGCTTTTGAAGACAAGGATGCGGTTTTGGCTCTGGCTGTTGGCGGACGGGAGTGAGAAAGTAGCATGGGTTTTTTGTTCTTGGACTGCTTCTTCGAAGTCATACTGGAAATCGTCGTATTGTCGTTTTTTTCTTTCTTTTTTTTCTCTTTTAACTTGGTATTTTGATTCTGCTATATAACATGCCTTCGCAATTGATGTCGCTTGTCCCCCGTGGCTTTAGACGTTGAAGAAAAGAAAAATATGTAGCAACGTTATTTTATTGCATGGCCCTATCATCCACACTCATCGTAAGCGCCGCGGTTAATCCGGCGAGCGCCAAGAGATCCGGCCCAAGTCAGGTGACCCACACAGTAGCATACCCGTAGGGTTTTTTTCCGTTAAGCGAATGCACTCCAAATATTCGACATTCGACACTGCGACAATCACCACGACAGCGCCGGACGACAGCCATGGCCCCTAAGGCGGAAAACAAGCAAGGTAGGTTTATTTTGCGAGTGGTTATTATATTTCTATTCCAGATTGCAGAATTGTCGATTTGTTCGATCATGAGGGTGCGGACGTTTTGCGGTGATAACTCCCAAAAGACGACAATTTTGTACCGTTCGCACACAGAATCCGATCAATCGCATGTTTTGGAGAGGAGAACATGCTTGGTTTCATCGTCGATGCATTTGTGCCGTCGTTTTTGTCGTCTACCTTATGATTCGAGCAAAACGCAATTTCTTTCTATGGAGGTACCGTTTGGGTTTTGAAGAGGGGCGCTGACCAGCGTTTTTCAATTTCACAGGCAAGACCAACCCCAGCAACAAGGCTGGTGCTGCCGCCAAGGCAGTTCTGAAGGGTGCAGGTGTACGTTGATCTCCCAATCATGCAAAAAGAATATCTGTTTCGACTTGGAATTGAAGAAATGGGAGTACTAAATCATGTGGCTGCTATACAGGCGCACAAGGCTCGCAAGGTCCGCACCTCGACCACTTTCCACCGCCCCAAGACCCTTCAGCTCTCCCGGTCGCCCAAGTACCCCCGCAAGTCGGTCCCTCATGGCCCCCGCCTCGACTCGCACAAGGTCATCCTCTACCCCCTTAACACCGAGAGCGCCATGAAGAAGATTGAGGAAAACAACACCCTCGTCTTCATCGTCGACGTCAAGGCCAACAAGCGCCAGATCAAGCAGGCCCTCAAGAAGCTCTACGACGTCGAGACCGTCAAGGTTAACTCCCTCGTCAGGTATGAGGACTTCTTCTCCCGTTTCCGGCAATGGATATCAATGATTTTGCTTTGGTAACATGTTTCTAACTGGATTTTCTACAGACCCGATGGCTCGAAGAAGGTCTACGCGCGGTTAACCCCTGATGTCGACGCTCTGGACATTGCTGCTACCAAGCTTGCTATTGTCTAGAGTGATGGTTGCGTTTGGTTCTGGGTGATTTCCTTTTCGTTATGCGCGGTGGTTCAATAAAATTTCAGTCAAGATTTAGTTGCCAAGGCTGCAATGACGGCTGAATGACCATTTAAAAGAACAGAATATTTCAATTTCATGTCCTCAGTAACGATTTTACATGGGACCTATGTCTTCTTGTCTTGCGATACCGTAGTGCTTGACCGGAGTAATGGTCGAACGAACCCAATTACTCTCTACGTCAATCTTACGGACGGGTATCCTCAATGTAGGTATGATTGTTAATACTCCATACAATAGTAGCGTGATGTTTCTCTATTTATACAAGTTCCAGTCCCATACTGGATCGTTCATATAGTGGCAAATGCCCACATCCCGATTTTCAACATGACAAGCAATAAAATTCATCAATGTCTCATACAGCCAGTAACCTATCAGAATTTACTGTCCGCGAAGAGCCTCCAAATGCTTCAATACGGACAGGTTGGTGTCCATCCATCTTTCGACGCAGTTCTGTGCGCAGGCCTCTTCTGTCCGGTCCAAACGTCCCGAGGAGACCTTTCCGGTAATGCACTTCTTCCAGCAAACGTCCGCGAGGTGGTGAACGGCTAAGGATTGCGATTAGCAAGTCGAACGGATAGACTTGGATTTTTGAAGGAAGAGGTGACAGAATCTGCCAGGAAGTGACAATGACAGATGCGGTGCAAATGGACTAAAGTCGCCTGTTGTATGTGGAGCAGTGTTTTACTTACTCTGCTGGATATTCGACTTCTGGGCCTCGTTGGTCAAGAATTGGTTCAATTCCTTCTTATCGGCATCACTCAGTTTGGAGAGGTCGAGCTGCGCCGTGGGGTCCATTTTGGAGCGGATAAACGGGATATAATAGATGTCTCGAATATCAAGGCGGTAATATTCGGTTCAATTGCCCTCGGTACAGGCAAGAATGCGTAAATTTGTATAGCTGGGGAATAGAATGTTGCGTACTATGATTCAATCGGTCCGAATCTCTACAAGTTCGACTCTCGAAGAGCTCAAAGGCGGTGAAAAATAGCAGAAAGACCAGCGGAGTAGTTCACTTTCAAGGCCGTTTGCTACTTTGCGTTATCAACTATCAATATCGAAAAGAACTATAGAATCGAGTGCTCCGAGCTTCCGTATCCATCCTTTTACCACGGACTTCATATTTCTTGAAACCTCACGGTCATCCTCCCCGCCCTAAATCAACCATGCCTCCGGTCCGTACATCGCGCAACCGCAAACCACCACCAGATGGCTTCGACGAAATAGAAGACACACTGCTCGAATTCAGCAATAAGATGAAAGATGCTGAAAATGCATCGCATGACGGGAAGAAGAAACACGAAATGCTATGGCCCATCTTTCAAATAAGCCATCAACGTGAGCTAACGCCTCTCTCCTCTCCCGACAGCTCTTTTCGCTGATGCCTTTCGTATCATATAGGTTCGAGATATATCTATGACCTTTATTATGAAAAACAAGCCATATCAAAACAACTATATGAGTGGTTGCTGAAGAACAACTACGCCGATGCCAACCTTATCGCAAAGTGGAAGAAGCAGGGTTACGAAAAAGTATGTCATCTTTGTCTTGGTCATTTTGATCTGTCATGTTGCTACAGTCCGTACAGTCTATCTAACGAGTCCATGTTTGCAGCTTTGTTGCCTTCGCTGCATTCAAACTAAGGAAACGAACTTCAACGCCACCTGTATCTGTCGAGTACCGAAAGCGCAGCTCAAGGAGGATCAAATGATCCAATGTGTCAGTTGCGGATGTCGAGGCTGTGCAAGTAGCGATTAGGATACTGAGAACGAAGGAAAAGGTAATATATACGTGTGTGCTTCTATGGCTAGAGAAGTGCATCACAATGTTCATACGGGTTTACCTTGCATTTAGAAATAGGTTTTGGGACAGTGGTCGGTTTGTTTTATTTAAAACTGGGCGTTTGGAGACAACTGAGGATTCTCGTGATTTCGTTTCCCCGGCCCTTTACTTGACAGTATGTCTCTGGGCATGGTATGTTTCCATCTAACATGATACCCTCTTGGAATAAACGGTGTATGTGCATTCATGCTTGATGACCTATAATAAAGTTGCATGAGTTGGTAGTTGAAGGAACTAAATTCGCTAATACAAAATGTGTGACAAAAACAAGACTCGGCCAACCAGGACTATCAAGGCAATGCAAAAAAACAAATATGGAATCGGGACAAAACATTACAAGTTCGTGTACATCTTAGCAGATATTATCATAAGGTCATAGCAAGGTCATCCCAAACACGGTGGTTTTTCAAGTTGAGCCGACTCCAGATCTTACCTAAACCCAAGGAACTCCAGAAACGAACGCAAGTGGGGGGAGGGGAAACAAAAGCAAAAAACCAGCCCAAAGTCACCTTGAACAAAACACCATATGCCTCAAAAGTCACTAAAGGATAAAATATTGGAATAGCAGTAATTGAACCAAGAAACTTGCACGTCACAATACTTGGTTGAGAGCCCAATCCAGGATGCACTTGAAAAGGACGGGAGAGAAAGAGCAACATCGCTCTGCCGGTATCCAACTGGGACATTTTAGCTCAAAACAACGAGGTGTTGCTTCGGGAAGTAAAGTTTGGTCTTGAAATGTGCGATTTGGTTTTGGATGGCACCTCTTTACTGGCGCCTCCAATTTTTTGGAAGCCCTGTAGAAGATCGACACCATCCACTTCTCCTGGGCTCTCATCGAAAAGATGGAATGAAAAGAAATCGTCATGGGTGGCATCAATGAAGCGACTAGGATCTGGCATTTTGGACGGCGAATCAAAGAGCAGGCCTTTAGACTTTTGTGATGATAGGGATGATGCACCCATGCGACTGTTGACGCTCATGGAAGTGATATCGGCAAGGGCATTGCCGCCGGATCCCCCACCCTCCAAGCGAGCACGCTTCGCAGAGCGCTTCTCCGGCGATCCGCGGGCTGGCGTGGAGATATTGTCCACTCCGGAATCGGCAAAAACATCAAAAGTGGAGTGGAAATTTTCGTTTGGTGTGAATGCTTCATCCTGGATGTTGAACGCTGGGCTCCATGGCAGGTCCTCATCCGTGAGGCCCAGGTGTTTGATGGGGGAATTGACCATTTGTTGGATCTTCCTGCGGTGGTTTCGAAGGTTGGTGTTGGGAGAGACCGACGGTGGCGGCTTCGCAGGCTTCTTAAATTTAATCACAGGCGTGAGGGGAGGCGGCAGCATGCTCACATAGCCTCCACGAATCGGAGATGAGCCGGCAGCCACTCCGGAATCCTTGGTGCGACCAGAGTGATTTGGGCTTATGTCATGAGATGAACTGCGAATCCGCGCGATCTCTTCCTCTGCACGACCGCGCTTGATACGAGGTGGCTCAATGTCCAGGTCGGAGGTCAAGATATGTCCAGTCTTGTTTGGCCGCATTGCTGACGACTCCAAGGACGAGAAATACCCACTGTCGTTCATCGCAGCCGATTTGCGTTTTTTCGAACGCGGGCCAGCTGCAGAAGAAGCGGCGGCTTGAGACGGAGAAGGAGGGGTCCCTTGACGGGAGAAACGAGGCGGAGCAACTGGAGGAGATGAATGAATGGGCTGGGGAGGAGAGGACCGAGGTAGGAGAGTCCGCGGCGCTGCTGTATTGGTGCCCTCGTCACCTGTGTCGTCTTGAAGGGCTGGGTCGGAGGCAGGCAAAGTAGCATCCGAAGACAAGTCGACATTCTTAGAAGATACCTTTTGCGGTGGATGGTAACTAGGGGGTGGCGGAACTACCCATGATGCCATGCTGGAGGAGTTCTGGGGGTGGGACGCCGACTCCCTTTGAGGGGCTGCAGGGAGAGGAAGACTGGACATGGTAGCGCGACGCAAGGGCTTGTCCTTGAGAAATTGCGCCTCCATGCCAGGTTCAATCGCCCAGTAATTTCCTTTTCCCGGGTCATCCTTGGGTCGTTCCTGTTTGATGAACGCCTTGTTCAAGCTCAGATTGTGACGGATACTGTTCTGCCAACCGGGGTCACTGTTCTTGTAATAGGAAAAGGTATCCGAAATCCATTTGTAGATCTGCGCCAGAGTCAACCGCCGGTTAGTCGCTCGGAGAATCGACATCCCAATCAGCGTCGCGTAGCTGTACGGAGGCTTCGTGCCATCATCTTCGATCGGCGGCATCTCTTCGGGCTCTGGTAGACGCATTGCTGGGGTATCTTCGGATTTTGGCTTCTTGATCGATCGTTCTTTCAGCGGCGCAGCCTCCAAAAGCGTCCTTCTCAAGGGAACTTTGTTTCCATACGAGGGTTCGGGAAAATCTGCGAAATTATCATTGGGAAGATCATTGGCGATTCGATTCTCGTTGGGCGAGGATTCCTCGGGGTTGACGCTAGAGAATGTGGTGAACAGGGCAGATTGTGGCATTGATGATGTTGTTGGTGCGGAGGACGAGGTGGGATGTGAGTTTGCGTTCAAGGGGGTCTTCTTGGTAGGTGAATCTGTGGTGAACATGGGTGGAGTTGGAGCAGTTATCGGGACGAAGCCCAATTTGCCCTGACCGGAATGCGAGGTACCGGTCTCGCGTGAAGCTTTTGTTGGAGATGGCCTTTGGAGTTTTGATGAGGGCGGATCTAAGATGTATTCTCGAGTTGTTGAGTTGTTCTCAATGGGTTGCAAAGGCAGAAGCGAGGGCTCGAGACGGCGAGGCTGTGACTTGGGAGGAAGGTCTTTATGAAGAGCCAACGCTTCCGTAGAAGCCTGTGCAACCGACGCAGGACGCGCCGAGGTCATGATCTTTGTCTCTTCCTTTTGAAGCAAGTATCAAACGCGTCAAGAAAGGGTCGCCAATTAGACGACAAGCGACAAAGCCTTGCTCTTTGGCCTTGGGGTGCGTATGCAGTTAGAATTCTGCATTAAAGAGACGAGGATTAACTGCAGGTCACAAAGGTGTGTAGTAGCCTCGGGTGGTTGTGGATCTGTGCAGAACAAGCAAGATCGAGAATCGATTAGGCGACAAGGCGCTAGTAAAAGTAGATCAATATTGTAACCCAAAGTGTTGGTACAATAGCAGATAAAAAAATAAAAAAAAATAAATAAAATAAAAAAGTGTTGTTAAGAGACAAAGGACCCGCAATTGACATTCAATAAAACTCGTGAGGCGTCTTTCAGCTGAATGATGTAGTAGTATGTAGGGTATTATTGCGCGCACCACGGCGATCTGGTTTTAAGCAAGCAAGCGATAGGTGGATTAGGGATAGATAAAAGATTAATAGAGATGGGAAAAGGGTCAAGACAAAAAATAAAAAATAAAAATAAAAAAGAAAAAAAGAAAAAAGAAAAAGGAAAAGAAAAGAAAAGAAAAGAGGATAGGCGTGAAGACGGCTTGATACTAAATCGATTTTCGTCTGCCGAATCCGATCTCTTTTCCCACTCGGTTGCTTTCGCTCAGATCGCAACAAGCCGACTCCAGTACAGGGTGGAGAGAGAGAGGGGCACAAACGAAGAGGCAGGATAGAGTGGGCTAGTACGGAGTACGGAGTACGGAGTAGTAATAATAATAATAAATGGTCGTCGTTGTCGTCGACGTTATTAGAAGGAGAAAACGAAATGGAAGGATACGATGATGGAGGAGGTGGATGTCGCGACTTGGTATGTATGGTATGGTCACAACGCGTCCACGTCACGCGTCACTCTGGAGGGGTAAATCTCCGTCAACGCGTCGGTCTCGGGTGATTATTGACTGGGGGAGCCGCTGGAATAGCCGCCTGTGACAATACCATACAGGACAATTTCGGTTTGTCTCAGCCGCCCCGGTCTTTCCGGATATACTTTTTTCTTTTAATTTAATAGGCATAGGTTAGTATTCTTCAGACACTAGTAGTCTGTACTCTGTATGTACGGAGTACGGAGTACGGAATAATACAAGTACAAGTATGCACTTCTCTCCCTTGCTCAAACTGTCTAACTGTGAATCAATCAATAAAATATTAATGTATTAATCCTTAATGGATTCGATGGCTGGGATCCACCTCTGATCCATGGATGAGGCAGACATACTTTATTGTCTTTAGTATGTTAAAAGGAACGTCCTCTACTGTACTCCGTACAGAGTGTGGGTATCTGTATGTACGCCTCTGTACCTGCATATTCCGGGAACCAATTCAACCTTACTCCGTATAGTAAGTGGCCTGTGGATTAGTACACAAAATACTCCTGTACTACTAGTCGATCCAGCCACGAGCAATATCAAAGAATGTGGTCTCTGCACCTCTCGCCCCATGTCCGCTACGGAGTATATCATGGGTAATGCTGTGAGTTATGCAGTGGCAACGTCACGTATGCCCTGGAATGGCTCCATATGGAGGGATGTTCTAGGGAATGAGAAAGGGTAGTTTATTCCATTGTGTTCCAGTCTACTTCGTACAAAGAAAGGGAGCAATTAGTACATATGTATCACCAATGGGCCTCAGTTCTCTCCTTGTCTATGTGCGTCGTATATATGCTCTCTCTCTCTCTCTCTCTCTCTCTCTCTCTCTCTCTCTCTATATATCTTTCTCTAAATCTTTATAACGTAGTTCCGTCTTGACGGCTGTCAATCACGAGCGTTGATCGCTGGACACCTTCTATAATTCCCACCAACATAAACCTTGCGTGCCAAAAACAAATCTAATTAACACAAGATGATTCATAAGAGTGTACACCAAAACGCCACCCAAGAAAGGGAGAAACGAGAAAAGGAAAGGGAATGTCAATTAGAAATCCCATCCGGGATATCCAGAAGAAAGAAATAGGAAACCAAATGGGAAGGCAGGGATGGCATGAAAGGACACCAAAATAGACAGACAAAAAGAAGACCAACACTCAGAGGGAGGGCATTGACTCTGTTGGATCATCATGCTTTCACAGAGGCGAGCGATGCTTTCCCCCTCTTTCCTTTTTTGTTCCTTCTTCTTCCCTGGCGAAGTAAAGGCTGATGGATATCCCAGCATATGTACCGAATGCAAAAAAACAGGATGGTAATAAGAAAGAAAAGAAGCGAATTACTTTTATTCCAAGAATGTGAACATGGACGTATGGATGATGTTCAGAGCACGATCGGCATCTCGCTCTTCAATAACACACGAGATGTTGATCTCGCTTGCACCTGAAAGAAAGAAGATCAATTAGCTCTTGTTTCTCGAGTATCAGGAGAGGCGGGTGGGAAGATTGAGTTACCTTGCGAGATCATCTCTATATTAACATTATTATCCCCAAGAGTCGTAAACATACGCCCGGCAACCCCGATCATATTCTTCATTTGTTTCCCGACAAGGCTGAGGATTGCCATTCCCGGGATGATATCGACCGTTCCGTACTTCTGCAAGTCACCCAGCGCCCCTTTCAGATCTTCATCAATGATTTGAAACTCATCCCGCCCCACTCCATTCAAAAGCGGCATCTCGGAATGGAGAGCCATCGACACGTGGACCTCGCTAGTCGAAATCAAGTCGATGGAGAGCCGCCAGCGGTCAAGCACAGAGAAGATACCAGCGAAGAATCCATGCGACAATGATCGCTTGTTCGAATGTACGTTAATAACAAGGATCTTATGCTTGATGGTCACGGCAGTTGGCCGCTTCGGGCGCTGCATCAAAGTAGGGCTTCGTGTACGGAACAGTCGCGGGTCATGTCCAGGTGTCGTTCGTTCGAGTTCGGCGGGCGAATCAGGGAAGATAACGGTGCCATTGCCTTTCGGGTTCATGACGTTCTTGATGCGAATGGGGATCTTCGCGCGAATAACCTGCTCCATGGTGAAAGGGTGGATCACTTCCGAGCCGTAGAATGTCAATTCAGCTGCTTCGGCAGGCGTGATCGCCGACAGAAGGCGAGCGGTAGGCACTTTTCGAGGGTCTGCGGTGAAGATGCCATCGACCTCCTTCCACACTTGCAACTCTTTCGCCTGGGTTCCAACAGCAACTAGAGCAGCGCAGAGATCCGTATAACCACGACCAATCTGGTCAAGGAGACCTCCAGGAACTGTTCCAAAGAACCCTGTGATCACCGGTACTTTGCCTTCGCAATCCCTGATCTTCTTTCCGAATATGGTAGCGAGCTTGTTGTAAAATTGTTGATCGAGCCCCTGGCTTCCGATAGGGAAGTCAATGACATCGGCAAGGTCTACATATTGTGAGTCGACCCCCCGATCTTGAAGAAAAGCTGCCATAAGGCGGCAACTCAGTTTCTCTCCCGTACTGATCACCTTGTCCACACAACGAGGACTGATTTCCCCCAGCGTCTGGGCAGCCTCTAAAAACTTGAGATCCCGTTCGCACTCGCCGTTTATATCCCCGATAACTTTCGATTTAATTTCGGGGTCCTTGAGTTGCTCTTCAGCCACCTGGACATGTTCCAGTCGGACAGCGTCGACGAAAGAGATATAATTTTGCGATTGAGCATTTTCTGCGTCCCGCGCGGCTCGTAGCAAACTGCCAAACAGTGTCGCATATCAGTACAGAGTTTTTCTAACAATTGTGGTAGTGCTTTGAGCCGACATGTATGGATATGACTCACCGGTTAGTAGTACCCTCGGCTTTAGTAGAACTGCTTCTTGCAGAACAGACCACGGCCACGTTGTGTTCTGAAAGGCTTGGTCTGGATTGAAGAGTGTTCCGTTAGCAAATTGGCCATGGTAGCTCAGAAAGAAAGGGGGACAAAAAGACAGGGTTGTAAAGCATACAATACAACTTGATCAATAATGTTGAGCGCGAATTTTCCGACACTCGTGCCTCCGAATTTCTGCACCACCCAATTGCTCCTGGCCCTCACTGGGCTACCATTGGCCATGGACAGGGGATCCGAGTCGGACAGGAGTTGGTTTTCCATGCTGGTCGATTCTGAAATGGAAGGTTGGGAAGCATGTAACCAAGTAGTATAAAGCCTTGGAGAGCATGGACCAGCGGGGCAATCTTTTTTTTTTATGTCTCGGCGGGATTGCGAAAGCGGAGAATACCCGGCGATAACATCGGAGGTCCCTCAATCCCGGTTGCTAGAACGGATCGCCTAATCAAATAGACATGGCTATCTTTTTTAAGTAACGTAGAAAGTAGCCAATTCGCGAATGAATATCGCTACAAGCACATCCTTTTATATCGACCGCAAAAAAGCCACAGTGGTCTTTTTATCTCTAAACATGTGGAATGCTTAAACGAGGTGAGTCATGTTGCTATCTTAAGCTGAACTTCTATGCTAACACGGCTGCAAGTAGCATGGGATTTCTCAGCTGCTCTGATCTTTTGAAGCCAAGAAAACCCTCGCGTCGAGTGTTGAGCGAGTGACTTCTGGATTTGCTAATGCTTTCGAACAAGATGCAACCCCCAGCTCCAGCCATATGCGAGTAAAGAAGGGCTCGGGTGTCTATATTGCTACAATGAGATCGCATATACTGTCTCATTAAATGCTATGCTTTCAAAACCATCACGTTCGGCCTGAAAAAAAGGCGAAATCCGACAAACAGGAAAGTATTCGTCGTTTGCGAAGAATCATACAGGGAGTCCCAAGCGCCTATTAGTTTCGGTGAGCCTTTTTTTTATTTATTTATTTTTTTTTCCCCCCTCAATTCAAGTTTCCTCCTACAGCGGCAGCGGCAGCATGCACCATTTGCACCATCCGGGAACCCACTTTCGCTTTTTGATACAGTGTAGTCGCTGTGCCCCATCTATGAACGCCCTACGCTTCTCACAACGAGACAAGGCGATGTCTGTCCAGGAAATGCTGTGTTCAGCGTACTTGTTTGTAGCGATCAGATTGCGTTGCATCGCGTTCACTGACCCCTTCACCATGGCATTTTTGCTTCTGTATACGGCTGAGAAAAGGGTCCGATTAACAGCAGATGGTATGTTATGGCGCACCTAAGACCACGTATACCATGACCTACGCAAAACGCTAGTTGTCAATCCCACAGCCGTGTCACTCTTTCGAAGGAATCACGGCAGGAATGCGATGTGACGCGTTGGAAAAGCGCAATGGCATCATTGAGCAACAAGGAGAACATTGACCTCCTTAGGACGGCGAAGAGGATGAGAACTCCATTGATTCTTTAGAAAAGGATAACAAGGAAGCCAATGAGAGACTTTTTACGTTATATGAGGACGTTACAACATGAAGGCAAGTGTTGAAGGGATCTGGGTTTTCCGCGCATATACGGCAGGGTAGTTGAGGTGTCTTTGAACATGCAGATACCTCTTGACTGACAACAAATCTGCGCATGAGGTCCCGCTTTATATGAGGACGAATAACGAGGGACAACATATCTTTTCGTCGATTCATAGTGTCCTGAGTCCTTGCACTGAGCGAGCTCATTGTGTTTTCCATGCAAGGTTTATGGTCATATAAGAAGGGTTCGAGGCTCGTCACAAATTCCATCAAGTATAAGGTAAACCTGTGGCTGCAGGGGAAACCCACCGGCTTTTGTCGGTCGAGAGAAGCTTCACTACATACTCTTAGCGACACTCGGCGACAAGTTCGACGCAGCAGATGATGTTACAGGCTAGGCGGTAGATTCTTGGTACCGTTGCTTACATTGACAAATATTGTTATAGTAATTTGCTGTCTCTTTCCGTATCGTGGTCTCTGATATTTTTGGTGAACTTAATGTCAAAGGTTCTATCCCGGGCTCGTCGGATTTGACTTTATGATGTCCAAGTGTCTTGATATAGTTTCTTTTCTGACTGCCAGAATTGTCGTAGATGAGTGCATCGGCTTCTTTAAACGAACAAGAATTTGGTGTTGGAGTTCGACTGTATTTGTAATGAATGGCCGGGAATCATTGAGCGGGGCAAATACAGACCGAATCGACTAGGAGTAAGTGACAGATAGTCCATCTGCCATCAATGGAAAACATACTACAGAGTAGATATTGGAGCAATTGGAGATGTTATAATTAGAGCACACACGTAAAGCGGCAATAGTAGTAAAAACCGCTATACCATATCCAGTAATCAAGTGTCGCCCGTACATCTCGCCTCTAAAAATAATTATTCTTGAGTCACTGGACTAAATACATTCTGACATATTCCATACAGCAGTTTTGCCTTGGTAAGCGCTTTTTTCATGAAGGATTTCTGCTAACTCAAAGCCAAAGAAAGGTAATAAAATACTGCTGCAAAACTCTGCAATATACCAGGCTTCTATTAGAAAAACGCATTGTACATACGCTCATGGACCATCAAAACGTGGATATTCCATCTTGTCCATTCTGTCCCTTTTCTGATACGGACGCCCAGTTCGTTACGGAGCATATTGAATTCTGTCACCCTGAAAATGGCACTGAGCATGGTCAATTCACCATGCAGCCACAAGAAGCAGCGTCCGGATACCAGCGACCTTCAGTCTGGGGTGAAACGGAATATCAAGCGGACAAATATGTCGACTGCCCGAATGGCTGTGGGGAAGTAGTCACGAATACTGAACTGTCTACTCACTTGGACCTGCACTTTGCAGAAGAAGTCGCCCATGAAGATCCAACATCGCCGCAATTAGGGGCGCTCGCGGAAGAATCGAATGGCCACCGGTTTGATAGATTCGATGATGATCACGATGTCCAAGACAAGTATGCATTCCGGACGGGAGCAGGCAAAGCGCACAATCCTCGTTCGAAAACTGTATACCATAAGACCGTATCGGTCGGAGGCGTGAAAAGGCTTGGGGTGAGATTCTATGTTACATGCTCCTACATTTACTCAGAGACCACATTTTGCTTACTATAAAATAGCGGGCAGAATTAGGGCCTCATGCCAACGAAAAGCGCATGCCATCTTGGTTGTTGAAAATGCTGGAAAAGGGCCCAAACATAGCGCAGTCAAATAAGATATCTTCCGATGGCACACTTTCAAAACATGTGACAGCCGAAAACGAGGCCAGCCATGTCATCCCGGTGCTAGCCAAGCTATGTGAGCAAGACACGTCTGTCCAGCGTGCTTTTCTCTGTAGCCCTGGAGTCCGTCATATCTTCAAGATGCCGCGGGAGGGCGGATTCTGCGGCTACAGGAACATACAAATGCTCATCTCTTATATTCAAGAAGCTAAGACCCCAGGGCATGAGCATTTTCAAAGAGGGTTGCCGACAATCCTGGAGTTACAAGACATGATCGAAAATGCATGGGACATGGGGTTCAACAGCGTCGGGAGGATTGAGACCGGCGGCGTTCGTGGAACTAGGAAATACATAGGGACTCCTGAGGTGAGACCCGTCATTCTCAATGATTATCGGCATGCATGTGTCTAATAATTTGTAGGCTCAAGCCCTCTTTTCAAGTCTTGGGATACAGTGAGTGCTCCTACGAATTATACATGGTATACGGGCCTAACAAAAAGCAGGTGCGAAGCCAATAGTCTCGCAGAGACGCAAGAAATGCGTGCTCACGATGCTCTGTACATGGACGTTGCTGCGTACTTTCGACAAGCCTGTTCGTTAGATGGGAATGATAAGGTTATGGTCACAGAACTGGCCCCTATTTACTTCCAACACCAAGGTAAAGCTCCTGCTTTCTCTTTACTTCTCTGGTCCTGTACGATCATACAATCTTAATCGGATGGCGTGATCTAATACTGGGATGACTAGGGCACTCGCTGACCATTATCGGGTTCGAAATCCGAGATAATGGAAGCGCAAACTTATTGGTTTTTGATCCCATGTTCAAGACTTCTCAAGCGGTCAAACGCCTCATAGGAACGAGTGCAAAAGTCCCTGATCCTGCGCGACTTCTGAAGGCATATCGACGTGGTTCGGCTTACCTGCAAAAGTATAAACTCTTTGAGATATTGAAGTAAGTTCTTCTACCTTTGGTATCCGGGCTTTACTAACCTATTCAGGCTGCCTGTGCTTGCATTTTGCGTTGATTATGCCGAAAGATAATCAGTACATGGACTGCGCATATTGCATGGAAGTTTTTTTATTTTTTATTTTATTATTATTATTATTATTATTATTATTATTATTATTATTTTAACTGTTACACCAGTCTGTCCACCAACAGGAACTTGTTTCATGTCTTTCAACTCCACTAGAAAAGATACCCAAATATAGTTCTTAGGACCTTTATCGTTGAGCTCTAGTTCGATAAGTGATAAGCGATAAGCGGTCCGAATTTATCCAGGAATCTACCCCACGGAAATTTTCCCCTCGTTATCTCCGATTTATTATCAGAGCGTCGCAAACGCGAACAGACAATATTCAATTGAGAATCCGCCCAAATCGGTATTCTTGCTGCTGGGGGCATAATGCGAGAGTCGCCGAATGTGATTATAACTGGCACCCCTGGAGTGGGGAAAACTGTCCACTGCGAACAACTGGCACAAGATATTGGGTTACGGCACCTGTCCATTAACAAGATCGCAAAGGAGCGGAATTGTTTTGAGACTTACGATCAAGAATTGGAAACTTGGGTTGTGGATGAGGATAAAGTATGGTTTTCCTCTTACAGATGTCATGATTTTCCAACTAACCTCTCTTGCAGCTCCTGGATGCAATTGAAGATGAAGTGCTTCAGGGTGGTTACTTGATCGATTGGCACGCATGTGATTTATTTCCCAGATCCTGGATAGACCTTGTCGTCGTCTTGAGATGCCCGTCTACATCAACACATTATGATCGTCTTTCAACAAGGTAACTTACATATAACTACATAGGCTGTCATTTCGTTATTTCTTTCTGCCCTTCGACCTTTAGGGCTCATCCCCCCCCCCCTTTTTTTTTTTCTTTTGCCGGCACTCTTTTCCTACTTGGATTATTTGGGAGCTACTTGGGCTAAGATAAGTGTCACCACAGGGGATATCCTGAGTCGAAGTTGCAAGAGAACCTAGACTCCGAAATTTTCGCCGTGCTACTGGAAGAAGCCCATGAATCTTTCGATGAAGAAATTGTGGTTGAACTGAACAGCGAAAAGGATGACGATGTAGAAAGCAATTGCGCCAGAATCTCGACTTGGGTGGAGTCGTGGAAACGCACACGGGCCGAGAATCAGGACTGAGCAAATGCGGATATATGTGATACCTATATATTATGCCTCCGTCTCAAGATCAAAATTTTAGGATTGTTCCTCAGCTAGCCAATTCTGCAGCTTCACCAAGGCCTTATACCGGTGGGAGACTTGGTTCTTTTCCGGATAGTTAACACACAACAGCGGAGGGACGAGGATAAGAAGCTCTTCATGTCTTACCTTTGCTTCCTTGTCCATTTCGGCGTACGTGGTCCCTTGGTACTCAAAGATTGGATCCCATCCTGCGGATCGTACATGGGTAAGCGTTTGGACTGGTCCCATAGTAGATATAAATATGTTTCACGTACCAAAATTCGTTGGACCTCTTGGCCTCACGATCGCACCCTTGGGATCTAAAGTTAGATCTCGAGTAATATATCTCGACTCGTTATACCCCTTACCTCGGTTCTTCCCTGGAATAGAATGGGTTCGGCGCCAGGACTGCGGCAGAAGGCAAATGTACACACGGCCTCGGCCGTTTTATCCTCGAAGGAATCAATTATCCTGTTCAACCCTTCATTGCCCAAGGCATCAAGGAATGATTTGCTTTGGACATGATTAATATCATATACTGGTCTTTGAGGATAGGAACGAACGACCTACATGTATGGACCAGGAAGGCCTTCCAATGCATGAAATTCAAGAGCCGTGTCCTCCGTCAAGACAGGACCCCCGACCTGCTCCGATCATAAGCCACTGGTATTGACACATAATACGGCTCGTGCAGAAAACAGAGCCATAGATTCCAATAGGTCTGCTGCTTACCACTTCCGCTGCATGTCTGCACTTTTCCTTGGCTATCTCTTCGATTGTTCCTTGGATCTCGGGCACATCGACAGATTGGTTTTCAACATTGATGACGCTTCCAAGTATCGTCCTCACCTCTGCCAGTTTGTTCTTATTTCCGGTGATAAAATTCAGCTTATTCAAAGAAGCCATGATGCCGCTC